GCAGTGACTGCCCTTTTGCTGTAGAGACCTTTCCCTTGTCCTTAAAACCTGTGCCCAGTAAGTGCTGCCTTTGGTTTTATTAAGGTTGTAAAAATGCCACGTTTGAGCTGTTTATATTTCTTAACTCCCTCAGAAATGGTTAATTACAGAGTCAGAATCTTCTTAAATGGCGTTAGGACAGGGATTCCGAGAAATCCCGAGACTTCCGAGAAGTTCCTTTCTCGTTGATTTTAACAGTGAGGAATCACAGGGCTGAAACAATAAAGATAGGCACCAAACCATGATCTTAGTACATCTAAGGAGTCAGTTGTAAAAATAAAAACCTTAAATTAGAAGCTCAAAATGTCAGGGGAGATGAGGTAGGATACCAAATTTTGTGTATTTTGCTATTAAAGTTACTTTAGAAACTGGGAAGCTGAGGGGCTCCACACGTGCTTGAGTGACCAAATTAATGTCAAGCAGCAGCCCCGGGCTGGACAGTGATCTGAGTGGACTGGGATCAAAATGGGCACCCAGGATCTGCTACAATGCATTTTTCAACTGCTTTCAACAAGGTCCCTCTCCTTGGACATCTTTTTGTAAAGCCACAGTTGCTTTCTTGGATGTCTCACAGAGTGAAATCCATGTTTCTGTACTTGTTAGGCAAATGTTGACAAGGAATGTTTATTTTTTGTTGTGACTTTCAAGATAATATCTGTCTCCTTCAGAAAAATCTGCAAATTTCATTGAGCTTACTTTTCCCATAGAGATTTTCAGACCAAAATTTGTATATGTATTTTCTGGAGAAGAAGAGGGAAGACAGGAGAGAAAATGGAAATGTAACTTAGAAGAGATCAGTCATTGTCTGCAGATATTGTTGGTTCAACAGGTCTGATTTCTGTAGGACCAAATAATGAATTTCTCCGAAGACAAAGTCCACCCAGTGCCTCTGCCTGGCTCTGAAACAGGTGGGAGCACAAAGGGCATGGAGAAAACCATGGAGAGTGGATTTAGGGATTTCTGCAGGCTTTAGTAGGTGCTAGATCCAGACAACCTCCCAGTTTGTATGATCCTGATGATGTTCTTCCCACTCTTCTGCCTGGTTTTCCTCTCTTCGATGCTCATTTGCCACCTCTCACGTGACATTGAGACGTGGCAGCTCAGGGCAGGTTGTAGGAGCTCCTTCTGCCAGTGACCTGCCCATCTTGTGCTGGCACTTGGCTCAGCTTTGTGACTGAAGATTAGCAAATCACACAAAAAGGTGGGTTGATCACTTTTTAGTTGACAAAACCAGATAATTCATTGCCCAGGCAACTTGGGTTGACAGAGTCCAACCGTACTTTTTTCAAAGGATGTGGTGGATTTACTTATTCCTCTTTCTGTGTTTGATTTACTACCACATGATTTCATTAAATAAGAACTTAACGTGAGGATTTCTGCCAAGCAACTTTAGGCAAGGCCCATATTCCACAAATCCCTAAATTTGAGGGTGGTGGGTGGGGGAATAATCATATTTTTCTAGAAGATGTCCATTCTGCCTGTGGACTAGAATTTAGGGTAGTTTGTTATTACCGTTGTTGCTTTAAAAACCTTGTAAAATGATGTTTATTTTCCTCCCATAAGATAATGAACTTGAATTTTTCAATTCAGTTAAGTTGATTATAACTAATAACTCTTCATTCTCTAATAAATACCAACATTGGAGGGAATAAAGGAGCCACCTTCAAACAGGCAGCGTTTCAGGCTTGAACTGGTTTTAAATTCAGGCAGGATTTCTTGGAGCTCTCTCCCGCCCTCCTCCAATTTGAGGCCATGCAGCTCATGTTTGTTGGCATTTTTAAGTAGATAAAAGTATGTAAGAAGGTTCCTCCCTTTAACTACTGGATAGAAAACCCATATCCTGGTGGCTCAACTGTCCAGATCATGTTAAATTTCAGTGGAAGAAAATAAGTAAATGCAAAGAAGAAAATGCCAAAGAAAATGCAACGAGGGAAGAAAAAGTGATGTAAGTTGGCCAAGAAGTCAGTTCCACGTCTTGGCCCAGGCTCTGCGGTGGTGTAAATCATTGGGGTGGCCATTCCACTTCACCACAGCTTTCAGCCTGACCTGTTGTCAGCTTCCAGCAAAAGTGATAACAGTCCAAAGCACTGCAGCCCCACAGCAGTTTTGTCCATTTCTGTGTGCTGACCTTCACCCTGGGGTGCTGGTTCTGTGCCAGTCCTCAGCATTAGGGTGACTGTGGATGCAAACTGAGGTCACGGGAGCGATGCCGTTGCTGAAGGTTGGGCTGGGGAGGAAGGCACACCTGGGGCGGGTCTTGTCCCCATTTCTGAGCTAAGTATCAACTCCTCTGCTGGAGAAGGATGTCTAGAGGACAACTAGCAAGGAGAGGTTTAAGGGGTAGTCAGCAGGCTGTTATTGTTGCTTTGGAATACTCCAGATGGGCCTCTGGAGATGTTTTGCAGAGCCGCTCTTTGGAGCTTCTGCAGCTCACCTGAGTTCAGGCCAGCACATGCAGCCCCTGGCTGGAGTAGGCTGGAAAGGCAACCTGCTATGGGTCAGCCTTGACACTTCCTTTTGCCTTATTATGCTCTTTTTTGGTCATTTTGGGTTTGGCTTCAGGTGGCAGTGGCACCATTTACCACCCAGCACCTCATGGTGCTGCTCACCCTCCAAACATCTCAAGTGTTCTGGTCAGTGGCACGAGAAATTGTGTTTACATCTTCTCTGAGAGACATCCAGAGCTAAGCGGGGAAAAATGGCCAGAACAGCTCAGTGCTTTTGGCTTATTGTTTGAATATTTAAAGACATTGCATCTGGAAAGTATTCCATTAATTTGTGGCTAGCACCCATATATCAAATTCATGAGCTTCCAAGTAAACAGCTGTCACTGGAGCTGCCACGGAGGGAAATTGGCACTGGTGGCTTGTGGTGAGCAGAGAGGGAACACGCTGGTACAGACTAATCCAAGGAGGAAACGTTAACCCAGATGTGTAGAGGACAATGAATGAATTGTTCCTCAGAGCTCCTCAACTTCTCAGCTGTAGTAACACGAGACACAATTAAGGCTTCGCACTATTATATCCACTCACACACACGCACAGAACTGTGCACACCATCACAACCAGAAGGATGGGGCTGCATCCCATAGCTGGGCACCGTAAAGCAGCCTCCGAGTCATCCCCACGCACGTGGGAAGGGGCACTTGTGTTTGAGGGAGAGAGGAGGACACTGTCATGTTGGTGGCCAATCTGTCTTCAGGCTGGCTGGGTCGTGTAGCTGTCGTTTGATGTTTGCCCAGCTGGAAACACCAATGTTCATGGCATCCTCAAGGAAGACGCGGTAGAGCCGGACCCATCCAGGCCTTGGTGCAGCAGGGAGTGCGTGAGGTGCTTGCCAAAAAACTTCAGATACTTTGGGACTGTTGGTGGTGCCCGAGGCCTCGGCTGGAGCTGTGATTTCCCGTACAAGCAGCTCAGAGCAATGCCAGAAGTTCCACCTGAATCCAGGGGAAGTGCCGAGGTGAGGACTCTGCCTTGGTTCCTGACGCCGCCGGTGTTGGCAGAGCTGTTTGTCGTGCGGCCCAGGGCAGGGCGGGGGGGCCTGGTGTCCTCAACTGCTTGTCTGGTTTCCATGTGGTACTCAAGTAAATGAACCAATTAATTAAGAGGAATTGTGTATGTGGAAGTGGGACAGAGCTGATATCACTATTTATGTTTTCTTGGGAGGGGCGTTATGGAAGTGCTGAAAAACCCCATGGCGAGATCAGGGTCTCTGGGGTGGGTGTGATGGGGCATCTGGGGAGGTTCCAGCTAAAATGGAGGAAGGGCAGTTTCCCGTCCTCTTTCCAGAAGGGAGAATCTGAAGCTGAGGGAGATGAGGGGAGTCCCCTGAGGAGGTGACCACATCAATCCCAGGGGACGCATGGATGACACAGGAAGGAAGGGAAAACAGTTTCCCCCTGCTGCTCTGGCATGTGCTGTCGGTGCTCTGGCACTCCACGGGGCTCGAGATTTACCTTCTGTTTACTAACCAACCCAGAGTGGGTTTGAACTGGTGACCTAAAGGTGAAAGGCTCTGCATCTTATTAGAATTACTGTGAGCTGCTCGATGAGTCCCCCATGGCAGTTAAGATTTGATTATGGTTCTAGAAAATGTTCAGCTTTTACAATTAGTGTCAAAGCAGTGGTAAGCCCCTCTTTGATTCCTGGGTGTAGGCTCGTGCTTTTCTTAACCTCACACATATGCTGGCATATTTACAGTAAGTGCTCAGGGGTTTGTTTTTTTTAATTATTATTTTTTTTATTTTTGAATTAAAAATGAAAGTCCCCCAGGGAAATTATGCAATGGGAAATAGCTACTTCAATAAACTCGACTCACACATTTTATTGATTATGGTAAATTTAATTATTCCATTTAAACTTTGCTTACACACACACACACACAAAAAAAAAACCCCTTATCCTTTTCTTCCTGCATGTTTTTTCCTGGTTTTGTATCCCTCTCTACAGACCAAAACTGTACTATGTATTGTTTTAAACTTTTTAGAGAAGAAATACTCAAGGCTAAGCTTCTTCCCCTAATTAGAAATTAAAAATTAGAAAACATACAATAAATCTTATTCAAAACATCTTCAAATAGAACTACTAATTGTTAAACTGCAGTAATTATGGCTTTTAATACAGCTCTTTTGCCTCTGCCATATATGACGTGCACCGTTTTTGCTAAGGGAGACAATTATTCAAGTGCAAAGGATGTTAAGAAAACCAAAACAACAACAAAGCATGGGCAAAAATAGGAATTTCTGTTATTCAGGACTTCATTAGCTGATACTGTTCATTTTCTTGGTACTCAGATATTGCCCAGAGGTTTTTATCTTATTTGGAGACCTTTGCACTGAGGTTTTTAGAGGTTTCTGCCACAAGGCAGTGAAAGAGCTTCTGGTCCCTGGGTCATCCCTGGGTCTGGAACCTTATTTCCATAGAAACCACTGCTAGTGGGGCTTTTTCTTTCTCTTTCAGGGAGCTGCTGCTGCTGCTTCTGACCTACTGAATTACATTCAATCCAGGTAATCACCTCTTCTTTTCTTAAACTTACAAATGGTCTCTGCTTCCTGGGGAAATGCATTAGTTCACTACCTTGTGACTCCTCCTGTGAATTGAGAATGTTCCTGTGGATACAGGTCTGTGGGACTGAGGTCAAAACAACTCACCATGGCTAGAAATTAGGATGTGGGAAGCAGAATTGTCACTAGAGATAAAGAATCAGAAGTAATTCCCAAAGTCTGTGCTCCCTCTTGCATGGAGGGACTATTCAGAGCCAGCCCATCCCTGCACTGAGGTGAATCATGGTTGGGCTCCCTCCTTGAAGCTGCAAAATTCAATCTGGTAAAGGGCTGTTTGGGGTTCTGGGAGCTGAGGCTGACCACTTTTGAAAGGTGAGGAAGGACCCAGGGTTTGTTCAAAGCTTTGTTGCTTCCAGATACATCTTTCATCCAAGTTCTTTCATGAGACTGTCAGAGCAGGGCTTGTCTGAATCCCATGGCCAAATCCTCATCTGGGAAGATCTGAAAGGGCCCCTTTCTTTCAAGGGAGCTGCACCCCTTCAGTCAGTGGGGGGAGCCTGGAAGAAGCCTAACACCCTTCTGGATATCCCTTCTTGGAAAAGGATGGACTGGGCAATACTCCACTGAGACCTTGACACTGTTTTTCACATCCTTGGGTTTCCTGCATTACAGTGTGATTCACCATGGGGATACTTGTCCTATGGCTTCATAAAAAAAACCAAACCAAAGCTCTGGGATACTCTGCGTCCTCGTAGGTTTTGTATTTATTTGCTTTATTCAAGAAGTATAGCTGGAAATAAGTATTTACATATTTCTAAATGACCTGCAGTTAAATCTAACCACAATCTGATGTAAACTGGCAAGGCTCCCTTGAATTAAATGGATTCACTCCAGTTTGCACCAGATGAGGATTAGGCCCCAAGATTCATGCAAGCCCAGTTGTGATGACTGTGAAAAGAACTCAGATTAAAGATGGGTTTGGAAGCAATCAAACCAAATCATGAGCCTGGCTGATTTCATTTGTTTCCCTGGCAAGTCCTAGATTTCTGAGAATGCCACCTTGCTGCAATATGTATTACACCAAATCCTTCCCTCAACGAGCCCATCGCCACAGCTGTCGCTGTCTGTGCCGTACCTCCCCAGAACAGTCCGGTTTCCCTCCCCAGAACTGTCACCACACTTGCTCTGGCTGCCGTGACGAGGGAACTTCGCCATGTAGCTCATCCCAGACTCAGCTTTTGGCCCGGAGAATTATTCTGCAGATGGGCCAGCCTAGGACACGTGTTCCCGCTGGGATCGGCCTCCGCTCCCCCCTCGCTGCCTCCTTAATGAGAGTGAGCGCTTGGACCAACAAACAGCTCCTCACATGGCAACAAAAGACTCCTTGTCATTACCCAGGCTGGCTCCAAACCGAGTAGAAAAGGGGATTTTTTTGGCAGGGCTGCGGATCACAGAGTCACAATATACAGCTCATCACTGGTGCTGCCAGTGATGCTCTTTGGTAGGTTATAAAAATCGCTTCCTTGCTCCTTGCCTCAGTTCCCGGAGCTGTGGGCCGTGGGCTCTGGGAACATTGGCACACCAGGAGATGAGATGGGTGGTGATATGAGCAATACTCCAACTGGAACCCCTGACAAGAAGGAATTTGGAAATCTGACTTAGGAGTGTAAGAATCACCCCAGAAGAAAAATTCCTCATCCACCTTCCCTCCTGAAAAGTGAGCCCGAGTCTCATTCCTGCTTTTCACAGTGTTGCATAACAATCTACATGAAGACTTGAGGGTGGCAAAGCCAAATGCCTCATGTTGTAAATTTTGAAATGGCACAACTGCAGGGCTCTTGGCATTTATGTTTTTCCTCTGGATGTTTTCCTCTCAAAGCAAAGTGCACTCAGAAAGGATTCTGCTTTGGCAAAACAGCATATTTCAAAGGAAGAGATGTGTATTCCTTATATTTAGCCTGTTAACCACATACATATATGGTTGTTCTGAAGTTTTACCAACCATCTCTATTTACTGCTGCTTCAAAGAAAGCAGAATCCAAGTGCCCTGTGGATTCCTTGCTATCCCAACACACACAGACCTCAAGGTTGGAAGGAAGTTGCAGTATTATTTCTTCCTTGCCCTATTATTATTATCTCCATTACCAGTGGCAATGACAAGTGCTGTTCCAGTGAGGTGCTGCACACCTTGAGCTCCCATGGAGTCCCTGACAGGAACAAGAATTTCCCTAAAGGGATGGATGTGCAGGCACCATGGTCAGTCGTGGCTGCCTTCCAGCCCATCTCCAAACACAGGAGGAGGAAGGGGATTGCCACAGAGGGAGACCCCGGAGTTTAAAGTGCTCCTACCAGGGTGCTTTGGGAGCAGGCTTGGGTGGAACATTTTTTGCAGTGCCTTAGTCCTGGTTGGTACTGAAGATGCCCAGGCACAGCGTGCTGATCACCTGCTTCTTTTCACAGCATCACTCTTGCATTTCTCTGACAATAAGTAATTCCTTCCCCTCTCTTTACAAGACTCCCATGATTTCATGGGGGTATAAAAGTCTTGATTTTTCCACACCTATTCCTGTTCCTTTAGCCTGTTTATTCGCTGGTTCATTTTGTACACTGGAAGATGCATTCAATTTTTATGTATTTCCCTTTCTCTGTTTCTTTTTGTTGCTATTAGTTATCTCCAGAAGGAGCAGCCTGGGTGCCTTATCTGCCCAAAGGCACGGGCGTGTGGGTTTCTTGCTTTGCCACCCCTCCACAAGATTTCCTTACATTTGCCTAGAATTTAATCTGTAACACGCGCTGCAGAGCTGGTTCCAAGGAAAAAAGGCTCAACACATGATATCCTCTCTCTTTAGATCCCATTTCCTTCTGCACAGCCCCCACGTGCTGGGCTGGCAGGATGGGTCCCCCCGCTGCGCTGGTTTGACATCATCACTGTGGTGCCACTGAGCAACATGTGGCAGACAGCTTTGTCACCCAGGACAGCCCAGCAAGCTGGGATGAGCAAACAGCAGCTTCCAGCGGGAATGCTCCTCCTCTTTCTAAGCTGGTCTTTCTTGGAGAGTTGGAAAATAGGAGATTGGGGTTTTTTTTCCCTTCCGTGTGATTCGTGATGTTTGCTGTGGCATAGAGGGACGCCAGAAATATGATTTAAAAAGGGTCCTCCAGGGGTATCCTGATGATTTTTTGATTACTGAAAAGACCCAAGGAAGCTTCAGAGTCCAGCATCAGTGGCTGATCTGCAGCAAACCCAGTGAGGACACCCCTGTACCCTGAGAGCCCTCACCCAGCCCCCTTGGCCACGGAGCCGTCGCAGCTCATTTCTCGGTTGGCCAGAAGCCCCGTCCGTGTCGCTGCAGAGCCCAGGCTTGCCCTGAGACAGGAGCAACTAGTCATGCCCCATCTATCTTACATGCTCTTCCTGAGCACCTCCCAGACTGTACTACATTTATCCTCTTAGCACCTCTGTAATTATCTCTCCTGTAACAGATGAGAAACAGGAGAACATGGAGGTTTTGCAATTTGAGCGGAGCCGTGCGGGAGCTCTTTGGCAGAAGAGGCGGCCTCCCGAGGGGTGAGTAATGTCCTTTTGACAATCCCATTAGACTCCTGTTTGTATCCTTACATCCCGACCCACAGGCACAAAGTCACTGCTTGAACCTGACCCTTCTGGGGCTGATGGCAGCCATTTCCCATTGTCCTTCCCAGTCCCCAGCACAACTCCCAGACAACAGATCCACAAAGCAGTTCTACTCTGATTCAGTTTGAAGGCTCAAGTCTCATTTATGCCAGCAATGTAAACATCATTTTAGCTTGGCAAATATACAGAAAATTCTCAACAGCTACAGTGTCCTGCAGAATCATTTTACCCCAAAGCACGAATGCACTTACAGTTATATTTGAAGCAATGTGACTGGAAAAGTGAATCAGATGGCACTTGGCTTTGAATATATGTGTATGGTCAGCTCTGCTACCCAGATAAATGGTTGAGAAGTTTACCAGGAACCTGAGTATGGCTTTAAACCCTGAATGAGCAGCAGCAGTTGAGTGGAGACAGACAGACAGGGTAAACTCAGGGAGGCACATGCTGAGCTGAGCAGAGGACTCTGTAAAACAGCAGAGCAGTGGAAGCAGATCAGCCAGACTTTGTCTGGCTGCTGAACATCCTTCCTGGGGAGTGAGTCAGCAGCAGGTTAATTAGGCATAGCTAGGTAGGGAGCAGCACTTCTGACAGGAGAGGCTTTAATTGATAGGATCATTTTCAGCACAATAATATTAATTAGTAATTGCGATAGGGAACATGAAGGCAGGTGGAGCACTTTCTGTCAAGGTATTTTTATAAGGAATTAGGCTGTATAAACACCCATTGTAAATACATTGTCCTTGTCAGGTGTAATAACTGCCTTGGCACATAGAGTCTCTGCTCACAATGGAGAGATAATTAAAGACACAACTGCACACTACGGTGCTTCTCCCAGCTGCTAATTGTGTCACCAGAGAGATCTAAACAATTATATTAGGAAAACACTTGGGCTCTGTTAATAGTAATTTCCAAAATGAGGACAATAAATAGACTGAGAAAATGCTGTGAGCGTGGAGACAGCCTTGGAAAAAGCTAGAGGAAAAACTGTATTTCTGATGCGAACATGGAAATTTGAAATGGGAGTAAGGTGCCTAAACATCTTGGAGGAACTTAGTCCCTGAGCTTTCTGGATCCAAATCCCACCCCAGCCTACAAATAATTTCATATTTCACAGCCTTCACACTTTCCTCAGATGTATGTTCTTGTAGAAGGAGGGCTGAATCCCAAAGACATTACTTAAGGGAAATTTCGATTCATGTCGCTGAACATTCACAACTGATAATCCCAGTAATAATTCCCACGAAAAACTGTGTTATGTTACATGTAGTAATTTATGATGTATAGCAAGTATAATATGTTGTATAACTCTGTGTTACAGGTCTACATTACATACCTGTAATGTTATGTTCTGGTAATTAAACCAATTAAAGTGCAGTTATGAGCTCATTAAACCCAAGAAATATGAGATGTCAATCAGTTTGGGTTTTATCAAGATAAAATGTTATCAAAGTCAAGTGAGTCACTCCTTCAAACCAAGTGTTCATTTATGTCTCCATTTATGACACACGGACAGCATGATCCAGAAAATGCCTGTATGGACAGATGTGACCTGCACTCCCAGACCCTGTTGTTGAGCAAACTGCTCCTGGACATTTTTACCCCTTTGGTTTCCCATGATTCATCTGAGTGGGATATTCTGTTGCAGTTGTAGCATTTTAAATATTTAATTATTTAATACAAATATTTAATTATTTAATACTAATTATTTAATAATAATAATTTATATTATTATTTTAAATATTTAATACCATCACACGGTTCTTTACAGGTCTGATATAAGCAACACACAGCCCTCAGTCAGGTATGTAGGTTTTGTCCCTCAGAGAATGCCAGAATGACTTAGACACTCCGAATTGTCCTGCTGTGGTCAGATGCCTTTTCCCAGGTCCTGCAGTTCCTAAACTGGTCCTTGCCGAGTCAGCAGGTCCAGCTCTCCCTCTCGGCTCAGAGGTGATCCTGGCTTAGCTCTTCTGAAGTCACCTGGGACTGGTGCCTGCCTGCCTGGAGCAGAACATTACACTCTGGAATAAATATGCTCGGGGCAGAAATCTTCTTCCCACTCAAGTTCTCCCATGGCCTTTATGGTGGGGACAAGATTTTGGGCAGAACCTCAGTGCTATCCCAGTCAGTTGCTGGGAGCGTGTTGGCTGGGGCTGAGCGATGGCAATCCTGGGCTTTGTGCCATGGAGGAGGGATTTGGGACAGCCATGCTGGTGATCAGCAGAGGCTGCAGAAGGGAGAGTTCAAATCCTGCAGAAAGGCAGCAGAGGAATGGCAGTGACACAGGGTTAGTGGAGCTGGGTCCTGGCTCTCACGCTGTCTGCACTGCTCGGATACATCTCGGGCTGTTGAGGGCAGGGACTGCCTTCATATTATGTTTGTACAGCATCTGAACAGTCATCAGGCTTTGATCCTGACTGTCATCCCTAAGGGGGCTCTAACATCAGCAATAGTAGCACTGATGATGATGCTAATGAAAGTCTGGTGGTAGTTACTTTTTCATATGGTCCAGAAAAGCCCCACACCTCAGGTTCAGCTGCTCCAGAGCAGAGAAGCTGTTTATGTTTGTATTGTTTTTCTGGTGGGAGGAGAGTGTTTGTGCCCGGAGATCAAGTCCGTGGGGAGAAAAGAGAATTATGGAATGATTTTTCTATTGTGCCTAACGAGATTATGATCAGAAAAAGGAGGAGGGAGAGAGGGAAATGTGGATGATGTTGTTATTACCAAAATGAAAGAATTTGGATATAATCATAACTGTTAGGGAAATGTGTTTTTAAAGACCTTGAGAGAGGTCATAATGAGAGTTTACTTTGTAGATCTAATCACAGTTTACAAGACCATATGCCAGTTCCCAGTGGTGTCCATAGTGAACAGCAGGACACCAGTAGTTTTCCAGATGTGGCTTCCCCCCCTAGAAGGAGAACAAAACCAGTGAGAAGAACTGGAGTGACCCAGCACTGGGGGAGCCTCTGAACTCCTTTTGACTGGGACGCCCTCACGAGTAGTTTGGTTGTTGCCTGGTAACATTGGCCTAAATTCTTCTGCAGAGCAACTGAGCCCACAAGAGTAAAGGACAAACTCAGAGAGGGATCAGATGTTCTAATTTTATGGAAGTATCCTCATAAAACAGAGCTGAAGCACGTCTGTCCCAGGTACCTGATGAGTGTTTGGAGTCATATCAGTAATGCAGGAGAGGGAAGGATGTTTGGTGCCAGCAGGGCATTACTACCTTGTGAAACGTACTAATACAGGGAAGGTCACAATCTCAACTTCTGCCCTAACCAAACACTTGCAAACACTCACATATTTGGCCCCCTTTGAGCAGATCCTTCCATCACCCACCCCCGAGTCTCGGCGTTGCCCCAGTGCCACTGCAGCACAAGCACTTTCCAGGTCACAGCAATGGGAGAGCTCACAAGGGACTGTGACATCCCTGGATCTTCTTCCATTTTTGCTTGGAGAGAGTCATGTTTGTGGATGCCTTGCTTTTGGAGGAGTGGACCTGGAAAAGATACCTCAGTGGAGGAGAAAAAATGATGTTCCACAGGACGGGAACATGGAATCATTCCTCTTTGGAGGTTGTTCTTGCAGCCTGGCACCCTTGCTCCAGGTTGCTCTTCACCTCTGCCTTGTGTGCGTTGTCCCCTGTTCTGTGACTGACATGAGCTCAGGGGAAGGAGTTGTCACGGTCTGTTGATGAGACAGCGGTTTCTGATGTCACCCCTAACTCATTCATGGCTTTCTCTGGAAGATCAGGGAACAGTGCAAGATCCATAGGAAGCCCCCAAGTGCCTGCACAGTACCTTCAGCTATGTGTATTCTTGCTGAGGTGTGGGCATTGCTTGCACCCTCAGTCACAGTGAACACACTGTCATTTCCAAAGGAAAATGAGGGATTTTGATCCTCACACCATTCTGTGGGAGGAAGGAGGGGAGTTTCCTAAGGAGCTGGAGATGGAAGGAGGGAATTGCAGTCAGCAGCTGTTCATCCCATGGCAGTGGCACATCACAGGGTGCTTGGCCAAGTGAGCTCTGTGCCCTCGCTGCCGGCACGGCAGGAGCTGCTGAGCCGAACGGGAGAGCAGCTCCAACCAGGGCTGTGCCAAGGAGCAGTGTGCTGCTCTCCACGTTGCTAAGGATTGGTCCAAAGACTTGGAGAAGAAAGGGAAAAAGCTCTCATGGGAGATGGTCTGTTTTAATGAGCCCAAACCTCTTCCACAAATTAAGTGAAATATTTTAAAAGGAAACAATATTACTTTGGTTTTATTTGTTTCAGCTACTTAGTTACAGCTCCACGTGGACACAATTAATGGAGGAAATAGAGTATTTTATAAGCCCAGGACTCTGAGATAGATATTTTGTGACCATGTGAAATTCTTTGCCCTAATCACCACACATTCCTTGGGAGAAGGTTGTATATTGCTGAAGATTATTAACCTTGGTTCCAAAAATGTGTCTAGTCATTGAATGGCAAAGGTCAAAAAATTGTCATGGCATTACTCAGTGACAAATTTTGGCCTCCACTTTTCATTAAAGTCCCTGCTGTCCCTCTCTGGCTCAGGTCTGTCCTAATTCTGTTCGAAGTATTCCCCAGCAAGAAGGAGAAAAATGACCTTTCCACTGGAACTAATTTTATTTCCTAGATCCCTTTTAGACTCCCTCTGGGACTTGATGTAAACCACTTGGACCTTCAGCACCTCTTTTCTCCGTATTTCTTATTAATAGAAAGAATATGATTTCCCCTTTATATTTTCATGGCAATGATTCATCTTGTTTTGGTGGTATTTAACACCAACCTCTCTGCTCTTTGCTGGTCAGAGAATAAAAACAGATTGAGGTAAAACATGGGGATGAATGTTGTTTAGATGAAGAGTTTCATTTTTGCTTTACTCTGCTTTCTTGACAATAGGCAACAACCAAGAAGTCACCCTTAGGAAAAAAAGGAATATTGTTTTTTGATTATTCTGGGGCTGTCTCAAACATCAGAGATGGGACCTCTAAAATACCAGGACTGGGCTTTCTAGCAGGAGTGAGTGTGGCAGCAAGGTGTGATTTCTGGATGGGCACAGCTGCTCAGTTCCTCACATGATACAGGTCTGTGTACCCCATTAATCAGCCAGATTCCACTTCTCCCAGACAGTCCTGAATATTCTCCTTTCTAGCCGGCAGAGCAGTGCTGCTGAGCACATCTCAGGGCAAAAGGCCCTACACGAGGTAAACAACGCCTCGTTGGTTCAGTAATCTGTGCAGATGTCCCAGCAGTGGAGTAAATAAACAAACAGCCCCACTGCCCCTTCCCCTCTGCCACAACAGTAAATTTGGTTTACTGTACACATCACTCTGGGCCGTGCAGGGATGGTGTGAATCCATTAGTAGGGCAAGGGTGAGTGACTTCTGACTTCAGCGACCCTTAAAGTTAATCCAGCATTGTAGGGGCAGAATTAAATGTGATGAGCTCAGAAAGTGTGATAAAACCAGATTTAAGTGCACAGCTGGGCAGCAACCTATAAAGGCAGAATTTAAAACTGTAATAAAAACTTTGTAATCTAATTACGACGGTAGAGTTAAAGGTGAGGTATTTGCAGCATGATTCACATGCACCACGGCTAACCTCTGACATCTTGAATATATTATGTGGTTTCTTCTCTACAGGAGTAATTTTTGAGCTACTCTCTCACACTACATGGCTCCCTGTGTTTTATTCTCGTGCACTGTCTTGGGAGGTTGCAGGACAGGTCAAAACTGCACATCAGAAAGCACGTTGCAAAGCAGCTGCTTTCCTGTACTTCTTGCTTGAGGTGTCTCAGGGCTGCTCCTCTCCCTGCTCTGGACGCTCAGCACCCAGGTACAAGGCAGGGGTTGGGGCAGGTGCACAACACTTCCAAAAAATTGCAGCTTCTAAGAGAGTCCAAGGAGAAACCACAGCAGGAGTAGCCATGTCTCAAGCTGGTTTTAGCCTAATTAGTCTTAATACTAGCAGGAGGGAGGATGCAAAGCAGGTTATAGCTTGGATGCAGCATCCAATCCCAGCCAGCTCCTGCTGAAGCCCATGTCATCCTGTGTTCATTGCAGTTGGCACCTAATTAACACCACTGATAGCAGTGATCTCTCTGATTTCAGTGCTGGCTTGTCCAAGCACCAAAGTGATGGGAAAAACCAGCCCATGAACCCTGACTCTCCTGGACTGCTCGGCTTTCCTGGCTGGTGGGGTTGGGAGTGCTCTCACTGGGATGGACACTGTCAAGTGTGACAACAACCTTAGATACAAGTCTGACATCTTCCAGAAGGGCCACAGAGGAGTTATACACTAAACAGAGCTCTTTTTCCTGGGTCCCATTAGGTATTGTCCAACATCCCAAGATCCCTGCATGTATGGGGGGGTGTAGTGGTGGGATCTAAACAAGTTTGCTCAGCTTGGTAACAGCTGGGTGGTTCTCTAGGAAAAGCAGCTGAAGAGATCTCCCTTCCTTCAGCCAGCCTACATCAAGACAGAAATTTCAATTAGAAATCTACCCCATGTGGTAGTTCTGATTTTTTTCTGCATTTCAGCAGTTCAAAAAATGGAGCAGAAACATCAGAAGAAAAATCCTTTTATGTGAAGTCTGTAAACCTCTATTTGTTATTTTTTTGAACTGAAATAACTTGGTGGCATTTCTGAAATCAAATTACATTTCATTTCCTTCCATTTGAATTTAGCCAGAAAGCTTCCTTTTAAGTGTGATTGACACAAGGTATATACCTATGGCATAATGCTCATGGGAGGGGCTGAGGACAGCCTTGTTTGTGGAACCAGCATCCCAAAATAAACTACATCCTCCCTCAAAGCAGTGTGTACCCAGCTGATCGATCTCCACAAGTGTTGCTCTTAAACTGATGAAATATTTACATGCTTGTGAAATCAAACTGAAACAGATCTGTTGCTTAGGTTTTCCCAGGGGGTAATCCAGTAATATTTTTCCTCAAGGAAATTAATAATTGTTAAGATGCTGTGTTATAGAATATGTCTCTCTTTTATGAAGCTTGGAGGGGAACAGCAGAGCCATCAAGGACACCCTGTGATGTTCTCTCATGGGAAGAGGAGGGTGTGAGAGCCATGGGCTAAAATGGGTGATGGATATCAGCAGTGGGTGGGAAGGAGGTGGGGGTGTTCTTGGAAAGGGATTGCTCAGAGTTTCCAAGGGGAGTTTGCCTTTGTGACCACGGACCTCTCTCAGTACTGATATTTAGAGAGACGGAGATCTGCTTTTTATTTTAGAGAGAAAAAATGTCATGTGCATGTATTGAGATGCCATATACACTTCTGCTATTGCTGAGGTAACTCCATCCCAAATTGTCCTCTTCTTCCTAGAGCTGAACAACAGCTGCACCAGGAGAGAACCCTGCACAGGAGACAAGAACTTCTGAAATGCCATCAGGGACTACCAGAAAGCAGCACAACAAACACCCCAAAACACAGGAAGGAGCTGCAGAAAGCCAGTGTGAGGATCAAAAGAATAACATCCCAGGTACAAACAGGGTGAGATCCCACAGAGCTCAGGCCAGCAGCCACCCACTGCGTGCTCTGGTGGGTTTAGAATCCCATCCTGTAGGGCAGCTCCCACATGCTCCAGCTGCCTGTACTGCAGGGAGAAGAGGGGAGCATTTAACACCCTGAGTCTGCAAGGCACAGACAGGAGGTGGTAAATACCTTGATAAGGAAACTGGAGTGAAAATACCAGCTTTAGGCAATCCAGATTTTATCAGGGAAGTATGCAGGAATGAGTAAGTACCTGACATGCAGATGTGCCTCTGCGCAGTGCCAGCAGCCTGCCAGTCCCCACATCTGGCCTCAGGCAACAGTCCCGTTTCCAAACTCATGTGATTTCAGGGGTACATTGGCAAGGTATTTTTGTATGGGATTCTGACTTTTGCAGTGGCAGTGCCCACAATGAATCTGCAGCTCTGTGCTTGGAAGAACCTCTAGATTTAGCACCGGGGGCTTGTTTTTCTGCTGTAAGAAGCTGCTTGGCTTCTCAGCAAAGGCTGTTGCTCTGCTTAGCGATGACATGCATGTCACAGCTTGGGAATCCATGTGTGCCAGTTGGAAAAAAGATCCTGGAATCCAAGGGCTTGGCAGAGTCATAAAGAAATGAATGTCATGTATTGCTCAGTGATTGGATGGCGTCTCATGGACCATTGCTGTCTGTCACTGGGAGACCTAGAGAGGGCTTGTGCCTGGTCCTGTCTTATCTCTGCAAAGTGAATCACAGATTTGGTGAGAGTGGAGATGGAAGTGCTGTGAACTGGCACAGTGTCTGCATTCACACTTGAGAAGATATGGGAATGGTGGGGGAAGAACCTCAGGGAAGTGGTAACACCACCAAGCCTGTCAGAGTTCAAGGAGTGTCTGAACGATGCTCGTTGTCATATGGTTCAGTTTTAAGTAGTCCTGTGGGGAACTGGAGAGTTGGACTCAATGAACCTTCTGGGTCCCACCCAACTTAAGATATTCTATGGTCTTACACAGACAGTTTGAAGAATGAATCTCTTACTCTAGCTCTGCACTCCAGTATAAGATGAAGGAGCTGCCTGTTGGCTATTCTCCCTTGTACTCTGGATCTCCAGGGAAGTCATTGCCTGAACTGTCATTAGCCAAGGTGGGAAATACCTGTTCAGAGAGCTCTTGGACCTTGCTGTCTGGATTTGGCATTGATTCTTCGCCAGGTTTACAACAGAAGAGAAGGCACAACCTGCCCTCTACTTGGTGAGGAGGGGAGAGTAGGAAGAGCTTGGCACCTCCAAGGGATGTCCTGGAAACCTGAACAAAGAGAGAGGAGAGTCCTTGCTGAGATGATAAGGGGTTGGGGCAGCACTCATTGCTATGCCATGCCAAGGGATTGGCTGCCATGGGGCACAGATGGTCTCTCTGGGGGTGGTGCTTAGTGTGGTTAATGACAACCATAAGTAGGAAAAATATGGATGCTATTGGAGAGAGAGGCCCAGGAATGGATAAAGGATAAATTGGCTGTGCTATGTACAGAGAGGGCCAAACAGATGTTGGGCCTGATCCAGAGCCCATTGAGTTAATGGAAAGGCTCCCTTTGGTTTCATTGGATGCTGTCTCAGACCCATTACAGCTTCACAGGAAGCAGTGGAGACCAAGAGTAATAACTTGTGGTGACTGGAGTGCTGTGTGTTGCATAGGTGTGGGCTGTGAGGTTTTTATGGTGAAAACAGATGGGTCTTACAGATCCGTCCGTTTGGCCTGGGTAACCCCCCTGCCCCGCTCCCCCACCTGACAGTAAGCAGCGTCGTGTGGTTCTGGCCCTCTGGCCAACAGTTTGGCATGATTCTGCACAAAAGTGCCCTTCTGCCTTCTGATTCGCCCTCCTACTCAAGGAGATTCTAGTGTGATCTCGTAGTGGCCCAGGATTTAGAAACCAGTGGTTTGAACCATCCACGTAGAAGAAAGAAAGGTCTGCTGAGAACTGTTGACCAGGGAGGAATTTTGTTGTGGACCAGCAAGAAAATTAATGTAAAGCAGGTGTTTCTGCAATTGTGAGGCATTTGTAAAGCCAGCGGTGTCCAACAAGTCTCCCACTCACATTCCCATCCCCGTGACATGGCAGGGTCTGACGCGAAGGACCGCAAACAGAAAACATCTCTCTGTACCAGTTGGCGTCTGACCTGCACTAGGGCCTCTCTCCCCTTCTGCTCCCCAGTGCTGTTCTGTTTATTTAGGTGTGTGTCTTTGTTTCTGTTTTTACACTTAGCACAAGTAGAGAGGAAATGGGATTTCATACGGCTTAGGAGGCTGGAACTCGCCATGCTTTGGAGCACGGGCCTTTGCTTGTCCTCACACCACAGGTACAGGTGTTCACAGGCCAGGTCCTCATGGTACAAACTGCCCTGGGCTCCAGGAGCTTCCTCCTTTTAGCTGGCCCATTTGAGGAGGCCTGTGATATCCAGAGATGCAGGCACAGGCCATGCTCAGGCCAAGCTTCTCTCATGTTTAGAACTGCGAACTGGAAGCTGAGCATCGTCCATTTTCTCCAGGTGATGGCATCGGGAGGAATGGATCAACCATTGCATGCCAAGATGCATCAACAACAGATGGTGTTTTGCTCAGGGTCATGGATTTTTTGGCAATGTAATATGAGGAGTAGTTTAACTTAGTTGTATTTAGGCCAACTTGGGGAGGGACAAGGTAGTAAGTTATAAGGGTAAGGTCAAGGCTCTTCTCAGACTTTCCCTTTGCAGATATTCCCCTATCCACACGTGTACACACAACATCAGGGCCAGTTGTGGCTTGGGCTGAGCTGGATTTTAGGTACTTAACAGGTTTAATTCAGGACCCTACAACACCCAATCTCTAAAATATAATCTCTTGCCCTTATTAACAGCAGTGCACTTCTAGCCCTGTGTGAAAAGAGCTGATACTGGGAGAAGCTGCTGAACTTTCCAAGTGAGGTGAGGGTCAGTTTACGGTGGATGAACTGCCTGGCAGGCAGGTTGGGTGGCAGCTTGGCAATCCCACCGGAACACAGCTGGAGGAGAACGACCAAGCCCTGACTTCCAGGCCTCATTTTAACCATGCTGGCTTGTTTACATTTGGGTGGTAGATGGGTGGAGCCGTTATTCCAATTTTTGGCTCGTATCCGTCCACTTGGATGTCAATGCAAACTGCTGCAATTATATCGTAATCCTGTCCCGCTATTGGAAATGATTAGTCCACTCATTTTCCATAAATATTGGCTGGCTGGCTTCACCTGGCAGCGGCTGGGAATTGTCATGAAAGAGAGATGAAAGCCCAGAGAATATTGGGATTCATAACTCCATCAGAGTTATGGTGTTTTCCAGGTGGCAAAATCTAACAAGACTATTGGATTTGGACATAGCCGGGACACTGGAGGAGAAGTGCTGGCTTTCAGACTGGGGTTTGGGCAGCAGTAGAGACAGCACAGGTATTTCAAAGCAAGGGCACTCTTGCTGTGCTATTTTACTCAGAAAGTGAATTTCTTATTAAAATAAGTCCCAAACTAGTGGGGGAACTTTTATATTTCAGGGGAAAGTTCAAAAATATCCAGGCTTTATAATTAGGTAACACTTCCCATTCCTACATCTCCACTATGGCAGCCCTTTCTCTTCCATGCCCACCAATTCCAGTGTGCAGAACCACATGTAAAATGTAGCCATGTATTAACTTCAAGGCTAGTTATTCTACAGATGAGCTCCAATTCCAAATAACACCGATGCCAACCAGGTTTTTTTCCCCCAGCACTTGGGCATCCAACACACTTTCCGCTTTTGGAGCTCATCATTCCGTAACTCCAGAAATTGCAATATAAACCTTGGCTACTACGCACACTTCAACTTGAAAACACAGCAGTGATCTGGGATTTTAATTCGAGCAAATTTGAGAGTGGATTAGAAATAGGATCCAGATGAATCTCTAATAGTAAAAAGAAAAATTAGCAGAACATTGGAGCAGAAATGAACTCTGTCTCTCTTTGAGCTTTTTTCCTCCCTTCTGCTTTACAAGAGGAATTACATAGACCTAAAGCACCATAATTAAATTGTCATTTGTTCCTTGCCTTGGTAGAAGCTCTGCCCAGCTGAACACATCTCAGTTTCCATCCTGAGCATTTACCTACAGCACAGGGCTGGGGGAGGGGGGCGGTTTATTACTTGTTTTAAGAAATTAGAAATCAGAGGCATGCACAGTGTGTCTGGTAGAGTCTTCAGCGAGGGAGCTGCCAGGCTCTGCAGGTTATACATCATTAGCACACGGAGTGTCCAGGAGAGAGCCCAGAGCTTGTGCAGGTGTGTTGGCAAAGCTCACACCACTTCCCTCCCTCCTCCCTCTCCGTGGCACTTCCAGCAAGCTGATACTTGAAACTCCAGATCACGGAGAGCTCCTCTCGAGGCTGTCAGCTCCCAGCTCACCCAGCAGACGTGACTATGGGATGGCGCGTGGAACCTGGAAGGGACTCTCTGGAAAAACAAAACCATTGAGTCAAAAGCTTAGTGTGTTTTTCCATGATTGTATGAAAAAACTTTGTGTGTGTTTTTTTAAGCACTTTCAGATATTAGAAGTTTAGTGAACACAGAGACAGCTGTTTTGGGGGTTTTTTTCCCCCCTCTTTTTCACCTGCCCTTGAACTTTCGGAATGACTATAGGGAATATATCCAGACTGTTTTCAATGACCCATTCATGTGGTGGGTTTATTTCAGCTTTTCCCAAAAGGGAGTGAGCTTCATTTGACCTCTGCTCTGGCATTAGCTGCCAGTATTTGTGCATCCTACTCAGCTAATCAATAAAGTGGATGGCATCTGAAAATAATTCTACACACAGCTCTTCCCCAGCTTCCAGAATGAAGACAGAAGCTGGGAAAGGAGCCTTTGCATATTCAGCACTTGTTAAAGGAATGAAATATAGAGCTGTGTGTTATTCATGTTGAATCCCAAATCCTGGGCACTCAGCAGCAGTTCCTTTTGGCATTGTGTAGCTCTCTGGCCACATGCACCTGATCACAAAACTCATCAGCTTTCCCACCTTTGTCCTTTCTGCTCGTGTGGCATGCCAGAGGACAAGAACTGCCTCTGGGAGGAAGGATCAGGCTGGTTCAGTGCCCTCTTTTCTTTAGGGCACACCAGCACAGTTGCATTCTTACAGCCAGATGTCCTGGTCCCAAGCTAATGTGTGGTGACAAGTGAGCAGCCAGTGCAAAGTGTGGTGTCTCTGTAGCATGGGATGAGTTTTTCCAGCCAAAATCATGTTAAAATGGCAAGGCTCTGTCTCTGTACGGCTCATGGCAAAGTCCCCTTTGGATGTCCATCAGGCTGTCACTGCCTACTGGAGAACCTGATTCAGGTTCTCCATCACCTGACAAAGTCCTACCAGCCAGGAAAGTGTGTGAGTCATCTTGTATTAGGAGGAGACATTTAATGTCTATTTTAGGAGGTTTGCAGCCTCAACCTCCCTTCAGGCAATGGCCATGATGTGCCGTTGGCATGAACCTGAACATTCCCACTGCAGCACCAGGTGCCAGCGTGGGGCCTGTGAACTGAGCAGGTGGTAGGAAAAGGAGAAGCACAGAGTTTGCCAGGACAAGCTGTAACTGCAGAGTAAGACTTGGTCCTGTTCCCCCTGCAGCTCTGGAAAGCTTTGTGTAGCACTGTCACAGTGGGGACTGGATCAGAGGGATGGTCTTCCCTCAGAGCCCCTTCATGGTCTCCATTGAAGACAGGAAGAGAGGTGAGGTGGAGCAGCTGTATGACCCAGTGTGGCCATTCCCATGTGTTTCATTTTTACTTTTGTCACTTGAACTGCAGAACCAGGAGGAATTCCATGGCTGTACAGCCTGGAAAATCCTGTGATGCCTGCAAAGAACTGGACACTGAGGACATCCAGAACTGCCTCCCCAGAAAGAGCTAAAGACACTAAACAACCTGCTGCTCCCAGTGGGTGTCCCAGGGCTATTTCACATATCTGGACAGCAACAGTTACAGGGGAGCAATTATTTTGGGCCACTACTATGGGGTCTCTGCTATCTTCTGATCTAAGGCAGCAAGCAGGAGTGTTTGCTGATGGCCTGCTCCATTGTCCATCCCCAGCTTTTCTCCGTGGTGGTACATTGTTTGCAGTGCTCTTTAAATCCTCCTGCCAGCCCCAGCAATGCCTCCCACAACCCTGGCGTGTCAGGAGCTTCCAGGCCTCGGAAAAACCGATCCCGCTCAGCCCGGCTCTGTTTGTGGCAAAGTGTTTGCTTAGCGATTACCTCCTGCACGGACACACACAGCCACAAATCTCTAGGTTGTCTCACAGCCCTTTCATTCAATTAAGTCTGTTGACTTAGTCTCATTTTGAGCAGTAACTGGATTTAGATAAGGCAGTGGAAACCCAAACATCAATTGTGTGATTCCTGGCCCAGCTGGTATGTTGATCCGAAGGGAATGTTTGTGCGGGCGATAACTGAGGCTGTGCAGTGATTAGGACAAAGTCATTTGGTGCAAAGACTTCTGTGGACTAAAAATGCTCTGTGTTAGGTGCAAGCCCTGGCCAGAGGAAGCAAAGGGAGCTGCCTGACTCCGCACACTCCCTCTTGGCCTCACTTATGTGTCGTGCTGTGAACAGCAGCTGGTGATGGAGAGGTCCTGGTCTGTCTGGAGGAGGAATCACAGTGGGCCTGGAGCTGGGAGATCCCACCAGGTGCTGGAGCCCAACTGCTAGAACCATAACTGCTGCTCTGAAGCCAGCAAAGCTCTTCAGGGTTGTAATCATTTGGGATTTTGCCAGTCAGCAACAGACCAAAGTTATTCTGGGATAGTTTCTCCCCACAAGCTCTAGGGCGTGAATTTACAGTCGGTTCCTCAGGGCCTTGATTTTCCCAACATCCCTGGGAAGAAGAGATGCAGGTGACACACCCTCAGCATTCACTCCTTAGACTACAGGTGGCCCAGGTGGAAAAACCCTCTCTAGTATAATAAATGTTGTCTCCATTTGTAAGCAAGACAAAAGAAAGCTCTTCTATTTGCAAGCAAACATTTTTGTGATGCCCTCCTGTGTCTGCTACTGCTTTCACTTTGTAGTCAGAAAACGTATCAGGGAGACACAGATTGTTACATATTTGTCAAAAATGCATTTCAGTGCATGACTTGTTTGGTCATCTTGTTTTCCAGGTGATTGTTAAGCTAGTAGGGAGCATTCCTGACATCCTTCAAATCTTCAGCAATGAGCATGGAAGAAGAGGAAAAGACAGTGACAAGACATTACTTCCTACATTAACTCACGATAAGGTACATCATTGGAAGATAGCAAATGTGTCACTGACTTTTCCTTTTTTCTCATACTAGACGGGATTTCTTCCTTCGATTATCATTTGTTTTCTTCTGTGACATGAAATGTATGACATAGAGAGGTTGCTGTAGCCGGTTGCCATGTGAGAACTGCTGGTGGACAGTGAAAGAGGTCAAATATGTTGTGGGTGATTTGCCATGATGGGCCACGTGCAGCCCCAGCACGGCTGCTCCTCTGAACAGCAGGGCTTCACCTCTGGAGGGAAAAGGGAAAGTGTTACCTCAAAGGACTTTTCTTCCCAGCTCCTCCCACCTGGTTGTTTCCCTTTTGGGCCATGCAGGGCTTGTTATGGAGGTGACACTGGCAGCAGTGTAAATGTGGTGTTTATCAAGTGCCCACGGGGTGGTGATGGGGATTCACCATCGTGTTTCACATCATCACTCAACCAGCCCAAGCAGTAATACACTGCCCTGTGCACTTACAGCCCTGCTCCTCAAGGGACCTTTCTCTCTGGAGCACACCAGTGGGAACAGTGTCTTTGAGCTCACTGACACTCAACATTCCATCAGTGGCTTGGACAGGGGGGTGTCTGTGGCTTCCTTGCCCCAGGACATTGCAGGAGTGGTGGAAGGGCCCCCCACACTGCAGACTCCCAGCTGAACCCGGGGCAGCAGAGCTGTGCCCAGCACTGCCCCGGCACAGTGTGCAGCTCCTGGGACAGGAGCAGTGGCTGTGCTATCTGTACACACACAAACACTTAACTGTTGGCACCTTAACATGTATTAAACGCTTCTGGTGGCGATGAAAGGTGGCATCCTCCCAGAGGTTTGCATACCTGTGAGCTAATCGGCCCTTTGTGTGAGCGTAGGTGGGGACTCTTCTAACAATACGAGGTTCATTAGCTCATCGTCTTGGCTGTAGGGCCATACTGATGTGCCCATCCTGCTTTCAGAGCTGTGAATAATCCAGCTTTGCTGCTGTCCTCTTACAAAGAAGGAGAGTGTAGTTTCAGGTACTGAAGCCTGTTTCTTCAGGCACAGGTGGTGAGTAGGGATTCACCAGTGTGTTATTCACTGGTATCGCTCTTGGCTTCAGGTCTCCTTCGGGCAGCCCTTGGTATCAGACATGATACCTATCAGAAATAATTGCTATTTTTCAGCCATCGATTGTAATAACACCCTTGAAGATTAGGCAGGTGTGATTCACTGTCAGAGTGAGGGGACCATCAACAGAAGGCTGTGCTGCTCATGGTTCATTTAAATATCTGTTAACAGTCTGGATGGTGCAGCAGACTGGGCTCTTACAGTAGGTTAAACCAACAAAATAGTCTGGGAAACCCGAAATTTGGGAGGAGAATTGATTTTAAATGTTCTGAATGCACTTTAGAAATAGCCTTAGGTGAAAAAAAGGGAAGTGCTTAATTAAAATACACATAAGGAACCAGGTCAGGGTCCTGGCAATGTGGCAGGGGAGCTGGGAGAGGACAAACACCAATCTAAGTCTAGCGTGTGATGCTGCGGCCAGAAAGATACTTGTTATTAGAAGAGGTAACAAGAGCAGTCTTTGCAAGGACGTCATTGTGGTGCTGGAGAGGCCCAGGCCTCAGATCTGCACTCCACACTTCAAATAGAGATGTAAACTCTGGAGGAAGTCTGGAGGAGAGCAACAGCACTGATAAGGGATTTCAAAAAGCATGACCTGTAAGGAATTTTTTTTTTAAATTGGATTGTTTAGTCTAGAAAAGACAGAGGAGAGCTATGAGACACTTGACACGTGAAGACAGTAGCTGAAAGGGGTGTGGTAAGAGAGTACAGTGATCACTGGGTCTGTTTGCATGGGGAAGGACAAGACCTACTTGGATTTATTTTCAGCAAAACAAAGGAGGTGAGAGTTTAGGAAAGTTCTTTCCATAAGGGGAGGGAGATGCTGGAAGTGATGACGCAGAGAGGCTTTGGATCTCCATCCCTGGGTGTTTCTAAGAGTTTAAACTAATGCACCACATGAGTGGCATAGGCACGGGCACAGAAAGGTGCGGGAGGGTCTCTCCATGTCTACCTGTGCTTGCTTAAATCAGTCCTGTGGGGTTTGTTGCTTTGTTGGCATGTGGGACTCCAGCTTGGTGCCTAAAACGGAAAACACGCTGTTAGGTGGGTATGTTTGCACAGAAAATGTTGATAAGACAGGAAAAATGATATCGCTGTCAGAAACAACCGCCAGAAATCTTAGAAGTTCTGCTTCAAAAAAGTGTATTTAAGGGAAGCAGGTCTTTGGCAAAACGGTCTTTCGTTAAACAAAAGATTTAGATGGAAAGTTTTGCAATGAGTTCTGCAGATCAGGAGCCCAGCACAACCCCAGGATATCTGAAGTGTAATTACTGATCCTGCAAACAGCTCTCTTCCCCATTTGGGATTCAGCAGAGATAACACAAGATCTCTCGGTGCAGTGGGAAGGTGGGTAGAGAGACTGTCAGGGAAGCCAGAGAGGAGCTTCACCTGCAGAAAAGGCTGTGCAGGAATAAGGATCCAGAAAGACTCGGCGCAGTAACTTGCCAAACGAGGAGGGAAATGGTATCTGTCCCAGAGTCGAGGAAGGGCTGCGGTTCAGGGATGAGAGTCAGAAACCCAGCGCTCAGAAACTGCTGGTTCTCACAAAGCCTGCACTTATGTGTGTTCAGTCCAGGAAACTGGTTAGTGGGATGTGAAACTACCATATGTTTTTGCAGATGCTCCAAGTATGTGTGCTCCCCTTATGTATATATGCTTTAGGCCCAGTTTGGAAAATGGGTCAAAGTCTTCCAGAGCTCCAGGAGGAAAACTCTTGAGAATTTACAGACCTGAGGTGCTGCGATTAATGTTTCTGGACAGCAATTGCACTTTCCCCTATTGAGGCTCGGAAAAACAGAGGAGAGTGCAAGAGGAGATCCACACCAAAGATCAAGGCAGACACATCTGCCTGGCTGTCAGATTCCATGCCAGCAAATTGGAAGAAAATTAAAAAATCCAAAGTCAGATCTGGTCCTTGCTCTGGCAATGCAAAGAGGTCTGAAAGGCTCCTACATAGATATTTATACCTGGCATAAAACCACCACAGAAACTCCTGTGTTTCTCTGGTTTTGCCATCCCTTTAAGAGGAATATGTCAAGGGAATATGAATGAATGAGATTTTCTTGTTAAAATAGTCATGAATTGGTGTCACTTCATTTAAGAGCAGGGTGCAGTGTGCAACCTCTGCCCACTACAGCTCAACAGCTGCCCTTCCAAACACTTCAAGTTGCAGGCTTACATCTCAAAGGAAGAGTCCTGCAAGTGTGGGAGACAGGGGACCATAAACTCTCCAAAGAGTGGATTTTTGCTTCCAAAGTTCCAGGTAGATTTGTACCCTGAGACACCATCCTTCTGCCAGGCATGGAGGGTGATCAGCCTTCATCATCAAGTTGCTCTTAGCTTTAATTTCCAGCACAAATAGCCCCAAACCCCTCTAGAGTGGGGGCAATATGACACTGCCAGATGATTACACATTGCCTCTTAATACAAAGCCAGTTAGTTGTGTTCATACTCCATTACTCAGTTCAAAATTACAAGCCTTATCTCAGGGGAAGCTTGGGATGGCTCTGTAGTTTCAGAAACCTCATGGTAAAAGGGCCATTTTTTAAATACAGTGTTTTCCAGAAAGACCATCTTAAAAATATAGTGCTGTTCAAATCCTCTGCTTCCTTTAATGCTATTTTCAGGTTGTTGGTTGTTTTTTTTTTTTTTCAAATTAGGTTTAGCAACACGCAGGAGATGTTAGATTAAAGGGACAAGGCTGGGGTTTTCCGTGTCTATACAGAAATAGCTGTTCCCTGGGTGGGCCAGGTGAATTTGAGCAAAGTTATTGTTGCATGACTTCCCCCAGCTTTCTGGGTGGAGGAGACAGAGATGTGACTGGCTGCTTGCAGAAAAGTCTGGCCAAAAGCATTGGGCCACATCCTTTGTGGAGGTAAATCAACATCGTCTGAGTGGCGTTTCTGGAACCATGACTATTTTCATCAGGATCAAGCCTCTTCCATATGGTGAGGAAGTGGTAAAGATCACAAAGGGAGGGAAAGCTATCCATGCATGGCAATAATTGCAAAGATCTATGGGGTTTTCCTATGTAGGTGGTGTCATTTTCTCTAAAGAATTAAAGCGTGGCTTTCCCAGCGCGCTTCCCCTTTAAGGAGACACGCTGAGCAGCGATAAGACAACAAGCCCAGATGCCCAGAGGAAGAGCAGCGTTGTTGTGAAGACACAGCCCCAAAAGGCAAAATGTCTGGATTTTATTTGCAGCTCTGCCACAAACTTCCTGGATGATCGTGGCCAAGTCAAGCAGGTCCGTTTTCCAGCAGCGTCTGTGCCCTCGTGCATATGCATGAACGGTGCGTTCGCTCGGGGCTCTGCGCTGAGGTCCAACAAATGCAGAGCTGTGAAGAACCAGCCGCCCACACGCTGCCCTGCTTTCCCCAGGCGAAGCGGGGTGAGCTGGGGAAGCCACTGGATCCCCGCCAGCAGGGATTCATATCCACAAACAGGGGCTGTGCTGCTCCATATCAAAGCCCACCTTGCCTGATGGCCCGTTGGAAGTGGGCGCCGGGGAGGAAAACAAAGTCAGAGTGAGCAGAGCTGGACTTCCAGAGCTGGGAGTGGTTCGTGCGAACTTAGCAACCCTCAAAGGATTTCTAAACCTGGGAGCATGAGTAGTCCAGGACGAGGTCTCAGGGCACCTGGGGATTTTTGGCTTCCTTGGAGCAGGACTCATCTCTCCAGCTCTACGTCAGACTGGCTGGGTCACACAGGGCTTCTGTAGCTGCTACAAAGGACGGCCTTCCCATGGCTGTGTCAGCTCCCACGAGGAAGTGATGCTGCCTGCCAGGGAATTGAGGCTAAATGCACTGGTGTTTCCTCATGCCTTGGAAGGGAAGAGAAGTCTGGAGAGAATGATTGTTGTGACGTATAGGAGCTTTGCCAGTACAGTGCCCTGTAATAACAGCTAGTCTGCCTTCAGGTCATTAACTTACCCATTTTTTAGTACTCTTACTCATGACAAATAGGTCTTGAGTTTAGAGATGCCCTCCTTCTCTTTCCTTTTTCCTGACTTCCTATGTATATTTTGGATATTTTCTTTTTTTTTTTTTTTTTGTGGTGGTGTATCCAAATATCCCTGTTAAAGTGTCATCTTCCAGATCTCTCCTCCGGGGATCCATAAGGCTGTAACCAGATAACCAACACATTTTTTCTGCTCTGTCTCCATGGCTCAATGAGAACTAAAGCATGAGGAAAATACTCTCAGGGGCACTACAGGTGATAAAATTGGATTTAGAACAAAAAAGGTCTCTCTGCTCTCAGAGACAGTCTCACATCTGCTTTGTCCGTGCCCCGTGACCAAGCTACACCCTGAAAGCCACAGGGTTGAGTTGGAGGGGTGGTGGGTTGAGCTTTCAGCCCAGCTTGTGGTGGGGTTCCTACGCCTGGGCTCAGGATGGTGTGAACGTGGCTACACACCTTCCACCTGGAGATGGCTTTTGTCCAGTTGGCTGAGAAGGGGGCTGGAGTGACAGGCAGCTGTTTGTCGGCCAGTGTAGACATGCCCAAATTCTCCTGGTGCCCTACTGGAGGGTACTCAGATATTACAGAGATGAGGGCAGTCTGGGAACCTGTTTAGACCAGAATATGGGTTTCAGTGGCAGTTTTCTGGCTGATTAATTGGGTGACTTTGTGCAGGTCTCAACTTGCCGTTGCCCTATCCAATAAATGGGAATAGCAGCATTTGTCTTCCTTTGTAAAACACTTTGAGGTCTACGGATAATCCTCCTCCTTTTTCCCACCCATCATTATGGGACCAAGTGGAATCTTACGACACATTGAGTTTCTGTGGTCTGGCGTTTGCCAAGCATTTGAGAATGACTCTTTGGCTTGAGTTTGCAACGTCTGTGACTGCCACGTGATTTGTCATGGCAGCTCCTCGTTGAAATCAGGTCACCATTCCACTGGGAATGCAGGAGATGAGGAGAGAAGCTGCAGTGAGGAGTGTACAGACCCTGGGACAGCCTGCAAGCAGTCGCCACACACATCATAATCCATCAATAACCTACCACACTCTGCGGTTCAGAGGTCTGCAGATATTTAAGAGTGGAAAACTCTATAAACAAGATTCCTCTGGACCACCACGCTCTTTCTGGTGCCCTGGAAAGCAGTAGGCAGTGCTAGGGAAAGACAAGGTCACTGGGCATTCCGAGGTGTTCCCACAACACAAAGCACACCAGTTTGAATTCGAGGACCTTGTGCTGCTGTGGACAACTGACAGTTTAGGACACAACCTCTTCTTTCCCTGCATTGTCTTGAGAATCATAGAATCATGGAATGGTTTGGGCTGGAAGGGACCTTAAAGATCATCTAGTTCCAACCCACCCTTGCCATGGGCAGGGATGCCACCCACTAGGTCAGGTTCCTCAGGGCCCCATCCAACCTGGCATTGGCCAGGGATGTTTTCTCCTCCTAAGTCCATTCTGAGATTCATCCTTAGCAGGTACCAAAGGGATGTTACTGAGGTTGTACTCTTTCTTACAATGACCTGAAAGAAAACCTAAATCACTGCAAGTAAACTTTTAGAAGTGACTTGGGAACTGAATAAGGGAGTGAATAGTTAAGAAATCAGGTCACTGATGCACAGAGATCTTCCCAAAGAACATCGCAAGGCTGTAGGAGCCTTGAAGAGCCAGGAAATTAGCAGAGATGGGTATCAGGCAGCAAAGAGCGTACAGGAGAGAGGTTTGAAGAGAGACTTGATTGCAATCTCCAAGTACTCACAAGAGGAAGAGAAATGTGGAAATGAGGCAGATGTATCCAGAAATCTTATGGCTGAAACTTGAGGGTGAACATTTTTTCCTTTCTGTGGTAGTGGGGAATGAAACAGGAGCCATGTCTGACTGCAGAGCAATGCTCCAAGGCTCCTCTCATAACTCCTGAAGTCCCCAGCTGGCTGAGGACAGGTATTTAGAAAAATAAGCTGTAGTTCCAAGAGGAATGAGCTGGAGGGTGTCTTGTGGCCTTTGCTGTGTAAGGGAGCAGATTAGGTGATCCTCCTGAGTCCTTCAGATCAGGAACCACTATTTTGGATTTCTTCAGCTACAGTAACAAAAAAGACAGCTCCGTCTTCTCTTCCTGTCAAGCACTGAGCAGGATCAGTGAGGGTAAAGCATCGGAGAGGGAATAAAACACCATTTGAGACTCAACTCCAAACAGCATGAGCTGTTTGGGCCAGCTTGAGCTACCTCTTTTCTTGTCCTTGGCCTCCACTGTTTCATGACAGGATGACAACATCAGAATTCCCTGCTAGCATTTCTCCCTTTAAATCAGGAAAAAAACCCAACCAAGCAATAGACAAAGAGCCCATCAGTGATGCAAATAAAAGGCTGCAGTTTCCCAGAGCAGCACTTGGGGTCTGCTCCTTAGACCGGGGTGTGAGGGACTCAGCACCTGGCTGGGCTGGACCCAGTGGCTGTGTATTTCATGGGGCCCATCAGATATGGTCTGTCCGTACACAAGCCGTGTTTTACTTATAAAGTAAATTGCATTACATGGGCTATAATGTACATTTTCAAAGGGGACCCACCTTAAAAACATTTTGTTTAATAAAATAACTTAATTAGAAGAGAGCTTCTGGCTGATGTGGTTGAGGCTGTGATAATTTTTCCTTCTCAAATCATTTTCTCTGTTTATTATACTTAATTATAGTGTAATTATGTATTCATCCTCTAGGCAAATTATGCAATCAGAAAATGTGAGTGGTTCATTTGCCACTGCTGTTGGGACCAGCGTTTACATCCCTGCTATAAAATACGAGCATAATTTCTATTATTTATAGTATTACGTATATGCATATATATAAAAGCTGTTTCACACAGAATGAAGAATTGGTGTAAATATTTTATTGGCACTCATTCTTGCATCATCCACTCCATTCATTTGTGGCCTACTAATAATGAAACCATGCAAAGCTCAGATAGGTAAAATCTTTACACCCTACCAGGAATTTTCTCAAACACAAAACATACATGGCTGAGGAACATGGAAGCTCCACAGCTGAGCTTTAATTTTGGAAGGAGGATTATTATTACTTTTAAGAGGGGTTTTTTTGCATTTTGCTTCCTGATATTCTACCCAGAATTTCTTAGCACAACAAGAGAGAAAGGAACCCCCTAGTATCCAGTTAGGGGGTGTGGGTTTGTGTTCATGTCATGGGTTCAGACTAACCTAATTTTAGCCATGTGCTTCATGTACTTTTTAGCCATGGCAGCCCTGACTTCTAAAGACTGGGCTGTTTTTTCTTCCTCTTGTTTTTCCTGATGGGAGTAGACAGATTGTGTTTGAACATACCGAAACATGAAGCCAAATCTTGAAAACCCTTCTGAGACGGATGTTTTCTCCTTCTTTGGCCAGCTCTGGGTGTGAATACAAACTGAATTCCCACTTGGCAGTTCCAGCTTCTCTGTGTGTGCTTCCTCTGCAGAGATGAAGCCACTTGCAGCAGCAGAGCCGGTGGGGCAGACGACGCCTGTCCTGGTGGAGCTCGGCCACCCGTGTGCCTTACAGCTGCTGAGGAGGTGAGCCATCCATGCAGCATGACAAGCCTACCTCAGTGTCCCCTGGCCAGCCCCACAGCTGCTGGAAAGCTGGGTAACTGTTGATCTAACCCACTTTTCCCTCGCTGAGGAGCTGGCCCTGCCCTTCGCTGTCCCTCAGCTGCCTGGTGCTCCCCACGAGTGCCTTGCAAACGTGCCTTTGCAGGAAATGAGAGGCCCCAGTGTGGTCTAGCTCCCACCCTGCTCCCTGCAGGCAGGACGGTATTTGTATGAAGAGCCCACACTTCTCATCCACGTGGACAAAACTGAATTTTGCCACACCACAGCTGAAGGGACTCGCCTGGGGAGCAGTAGAGGCGTTGGTGGAGAGCTGGGGTGGCACAGCGGCATAGGGAGAGCCAGGAATGTGGGATCTGGGGAGGGAGGCAGTGGAAGAGCCAGCAGTGTGGTCCCCCAGATGGAGTTAGCCACCCAGGGAAGGAGAAAGAAGATGATTGCTGATCATCCTCGCCACTCCTGCAGCTGCCCCATGCAAACAGTGGCCTCAAACAGCCTTTCCCTCTCCCCACCCTCAAAACGCAACCACTGCCCCATCCCTCCCTCTCCCTGAGAGGAGAGCTGTCAGTTGTGGTCTCTGAGGGAAAGGCACTGCCCCAGCCAGCCTGGGATAAAGCTACAGAGTGGAGAATCAAAGCCCAGATCCAGGCAGATACTTTGTGGTAACCTAAGATCCAATGGAAATCTGGGGAAATTTTTCAAAGGAGCCAGAGAATACTCCCAGGTAGGTGCTGTTGCTCCATCCTGACCTGCTGACCCACGGGGGAGGCTGCTGCTGTGTTCACACACACACAGGTGGGCCAAACCAGCCGAAACAGGGTGGAAATAGCCAAGCCACTGGTTCCCAGCGCTGGCTGCAAAGTCCTCACACACAGCAGGTAGGACGGGACGTGCCAACAGCCCCAAGCCTGCGAGCACGGAGCAGCTCCACGGAGAGCTGAAGGACCACAAGACCAGGAGCTGACTCAGAGCACAGCAAGGAGGCATCTCCCCAGAGTGGGATGAGATGGGAGCAGTAGGTACGTAAGATGTTTTTGTTTTTTCCTGATGTTATCCCCATTTTCCCAGGTCCCAGCTTCAGACAGCCGTCTGCCACCCGCTTTGGCCAGACACTGAGACGCTGTGAGTTGGCTGGTGTTGCTGTCATGAGCAAAGGTGCAGTGCCATGGATTGTCTGGGCCGTGCCAGCCTGTTCCCACAGTGATTTTGCATGGTGGGAAGTTGGTTGGGACTGGGCAAAGGGTGCTCCGGCTCTGGCCCGCTGCCAGAGGAGGATTTGTCCATTATAGGCTCGCTTGCTCTTGGGGTGTGGCCTGAAAGGGAGCGTTGGAGCCAATATTTATTGGGGGGTTTCCACACTTTGTTGTGAAACCCTTGGTTTTTCCATGCCTTGAATTGGGGAGCAGATACCTTAGTAAAGAGTATTACAAGTGCCTGGCTCCAGGGGGATGCCTCCCACCTGCTGGTCTGTAAATGCTGTAGAAAGAATGGTGTATGTGACTGTATTTGAGCAATAGTGCACTTTACCTCAGGTCAGGCAGCAGTCTAAAGGAAGGGCTTGGATCAGGAGTCAGACTGCCAAGTCCCTGAGCAGTGTGCCAGGCTGGAGCAGGGCTCCTCCATCCCTTCTATCCTTTCCTGGTTTTGTTCCCCCTTGCATTCCTAGGGAAAAATGAAAGAGAGGAAAATTAAATACAAATTATAAGCTCCAGCACCTTTGCTAGGGAAATCTGCAACCAAGTGCAAGTGGATGAGTTGGATTCAGTATTGGCCACTGATTCTTAAAGAACTACTTCTGCCAGAGGGAGCTGGTTCAGAAACCAGCCCAGGAGCTGATACCCCAGCTCTGAGTGAGAACAAGGGCCACCCTTCCTAATCCGAGACTTGATCAGTTGAATTTCAGTTATCAAGAAGCCACAAGGGAAGCCTGGCCTATTTTTATACCCTGGAGCCCCCCTGGAAGCGCCAGCCCCAGCAATGTGGTGCAGCACTGCTCCAGCACACGCTGAGCCTCACACGGTGCCGGGGCAGCATTGCACCCATATCTGAACTGTCGGGAGCTAAAGGCAGCAGAAGGAGCTTTCCTTTCACACCTTCAGTTTCCATGTCGACATGCCAGAATGACATGAGGCAGCAGATGGATGCAGACCAGGAAGAATATTTGGACATATTAGGCAATGGGGATCGGGTCCCTTTAGCTCACACATCTCCAGCTGAGAGATCACGAGGCAGCGGCCGCAGCTGCAAAGGACCAAACCAAAAGCTTCTCGTAAGTGAGAAGTAAAATGGGCTTTACCCAGGTTTATTGAACATTTTTTTAAGCCCCCACTTCCTGTCCCAGTCTGCAGAACTTAAGCCCTGCCCTTATAAATTGCTAACAGAATTACCTAATTCCAGTTGGGTTCGCAACCTTTTTGCTCCCTCCCTGAGCTGATACCCTTTCCTTCTGGGGAGAGGTGGAACAACAGACATTCAGATAAAATCCTATGTCACCAAACACTCTTTTTAGTCAGCTGTGCTTCCCAAATGCTCTGGTGTCTCCAGTCCCCTCTATTGTGTCTATGGAACTGTTACTTTGGATAATAGAAGGGATCAACGCTCCAACCATCTGGAAGGCACACCATATATAATTTAGGTGCTTCACTTGCTCTCCCATCAGTAACAGGAATGTGGCTTCCTTCTCATTTCCCTTGATCTCTTAGCCCTGTGCTAGAGAGGTAAGGTTAGAGGCAGCCATGGGGGAGTGAACTGTACCCTGAACTGGGTTTCAGAGTTTTGGAGGAAGTCTCTGCTTCACAACCAGGTCATTTCCCAATTCAGTGTGTGCAAAGGGATAAAGAAATCAGTAAATCCCAGTTGAGAGAGAATGCTGGGTGTCATCATATATGCAAATGGCCCATTCACCTCCCAGGGGAACCTGGATCCCCTTCAGCAAAGCCTGGAGACAGGGATCACATCGGCTGGGCATTGTGCTCTGGAGAATCACTGCCAAAGGTCAGTGTCTGCAGCCAGCTAAGCAGCCCCACATGTGCATCCAGTGGGATGATCCTGAGGGAGGTGGCTGAGCTCACTCACATCCAACATGGAGAGAGCTCCTGGGGGAGGGCACAGGAGCTCCATCATCCCTGAGTGACCCCTCATCTTGAGGACCAAGCCACCTTTCCATCCCCATTGCTGCTTCTCTTAGACAGAAACCAGGGAAACTACCAATTTGCTGCTATTCCTTTATGTCCAGAGGAGTATCTTGTGTCCATCCAGACCTGTTTATCTGCTCTTGGTGAGCATAGACAGATGGTTAAGGCCTCGATGCTGAAGTTTATGACTTAAATCAATGGGATTATTCATGAGTGGAGAGATAACCATGTGCTTTTATGCTTGGCTGGAGTGGCGTCTCAAGCTCCCAGCTGGGAATCAAAGCTCTGAGTCACCAGGTCCCTCCTCTCCTTCCTGTGTGACCAGTCTCCCTGTGTCTGCTTCCTTGCCTGCCGCATAAGGAGGATGACAATCGCTTTTATCTGATGGTTACTTTCAAATGGCCCTAAAGGCCTCTTCTGGTCTGATGAAAATTCAGTAGAAGCTGGACTAGCATGGAAAGACAGGAGGACATTTAACTAATGAAAGCACTGGAACTCGGGAAGGCAATTACATCCTTTCTTCTGCCCCACATTCCCACACTGGCTACTCGGCCATGGCTGCAAAATCTTTCAGGCCAGAGAGGAGTGGGAGGCCACGAAAAGGCTGAGACAAGGGGAAAGGTAGTGGTTGGGGTGACCAGCACAGCAGGTTCCCAGCGGTAGTCACACCTTAAAACAGCCCCCTTTCAGTTAAAAACTGAGACCTCGATTCTGCAAGTCTCTGCTTCACATATGGACTTTGTAAAACAAAAACTAGAGAGAAAGAAAGATACATGGGCCAACTGCATATATTTTATGCCCCAATATACACTAAGTCCCCAGAGAAGTGGGGCTTCCCATATTTGGGATGTACCCCTCTGAATAAAAGATGATCTTAAATAGAGACTCCATCAATTCTTCTGCTGGTGACCGGTGCCTTTGCCTGGTCAAATTGTCCCTTTGCCACCATTCCTGGAAGAAGTTGCTCTTTCAGCCCCACTTCAATGCACCCATGTTTTTGGGGGAAGCTGGCCTTGGGATGCCTGTAAGATGGGCTATTCTGCACCTCCCTGTTGGTTAGCAAGTCAAATAGGGTAGTGTGAGAAACCCTGTGCAGCTACAGCTGCTGTGTCCATGAGAATGTGCAGGCTGAAACCCTGCAGAGGAGCTGTGGGCGTCCTCCCAGCTGCCCCGTGCTTTTGCAGGCATTTGTAAATACAACTGCTCTCACTTTCCATTGATAGACATCAAAAAGCAATTAAGAATCAAGCTCTTCAAATTGATAGGTCTCCTGAATTTGAAACATTTTTCATTCTTTGGCTGGTATCACTGCCTAGATTAGATTATTTTTTTAAAGGGAAGATTAAAATAAACAGTATTTATGGTTTAATTATTTGAATGACTAAGAAGCTCCAGCTTTATTTTAACTTCACAGAGGACCGGGAGATGTTTTTAATGATATGTTTTACTCACACAGGATCTTTCATCCAAGAATCTCAAACTGCTTTTCAAATAATTAATTAATCCTTGTACCTCTCCATGAGACAGTTATTATCTCTGATATTCCTGATGGGTAAACAAAGGCACAAAGACGTCAAGGCACAAAGTGCTTTCCAAATATTAATTAACTAATTCTCACACCACTGCATGAGACTGTTACTATCTCTGCCATTACCAAGGGTAAATTGAGGCACAAATATGCAAGTAAATCCCCTGAGGCCATGCAGGTGAGTCAGGAGCAGAGCTGAGAATAGTGTATGACCAGTCCCTTGGCTAATTGTTTCCAGCAAGTCCTCCACCATATTCCTGACAATGGGCAGCTCATTCCCCTAAGTGAAGCACAGCTGAAACCCTTTGTCGTCATCCCTTGGGGATCATGTTTGCCCACGTCAGTCTGCAGCTTCTTTTGAACTTGCCCTGCCTGGAGGAAGCCAATGGAGCTGTGATGAGAAAGGGTTGGTTTGAAGGCTCTGGGGAGCTTTGAGATGCTCTGGTGCTGGGGGCTGTCCAGCAGCCACAGTTTATCTTAGAGTTCATCCCTGTACCCATATTTTTAATGGTCCATGCAAGAGAATGTAGGGAAAGGTGGGGACCCTGCAGGCCAGGGCCCCTCAGCAGCTAAACCCACCTTGCCCCTTGCACAGGGGCAGCTCAGGCCCAGCGTGGATTTATTTTCTGTCCTCCCCAGGAGGAAGAGGGAAAGGCAGGAAGCTGAAGGCTCTCTCTGCCCTCAGGAAGGGTCCAGCTGGAGGGATTCTCTGCACAGGCACCTGAACCCTCACCAGGAGCACATCCCAGCTGAGCTATTTCAAACATGGGCTTGGCCTCATCAGATGCACTCTCATTTCCACATGAAAGAGCTGGAGGAATATGAAGCCAGCTCATCTGTATTGATAAGAATTTGGCATTACTTTCCCCCAGTTATCTCAGTTTTCTGTGTACATTAATCACAATACAAAAAACAGGAGTGAGGAGGGAGGGATGGATCTTCTCAGCTGTCTTTCTGGGAGTGGGTTTTTTATGGGGTTGGATTCTTTTCCTAAACATCCTTTTTTTCCAGTTTCACTCTACTGGAGTCTGATTGCTCCTTCCCCTCTGCAATTTGGATACCTCACTCTGCTTGCTGCAGCTCTGATGCAAGCGCTCCACTGCCGTGTTTGCCAAACCTGAGCTCGTCTAGACACAGTCTAACTGTAGCACTAATGTTAGGGTTCAACAGACTGATCTCAGCTTTGTCATAGCTCTGCCCACAGTCAGCACTTTGATCTTTATCCTTGAAAACCACAGCCATTGACAAAGGTAAAATGAATTTCTGACTTTGAAAGACTTTGATGGCATTCCCTTGTTTTGGTTTGTGTTTTGTTTTTTTCTCCTCTCCTTTGCTCTTCCAGCTGAACTTCATCACACAGCTTCTGATTACAGCTGCAGCTCCAGGACCAGAGAGAGGTCATGCTGTCTTGCTTTCTGCTGTTTTAAAATCAGAATGGAAAACCATGGGACACTTTTGGGGCAGACTGTGAGTGTAATACCAATTGTCACAGGAATTGGAGATAGAGAGAGGGCCCTCAGGATTTGGTCTTGTACCTTCTTAAAAAAAAACCACCAAACCAAAATCATCATGAATGGGGCCAAGTGCCAATAGCAGGAGAGAATGAGAACTATTTGGTGTTAGATTTCTAGCTGGAAATCTGCAGCCTGCCAAGTCCTACTGTTTGCCTTCGTGTAGTATGAGAGGTTGAGCTGAGACAAGGGCCTTCCAGTAGACATTGCACTGACACGTTGTGAGGGATTGCCCTGCCTGGAGGAGTTCACCTTTTAAATAAACATGAGGCGCAAACCGAGTGCTACCGCTCCATCTTCCAGATGGGAAGTGAAGGCAAGGAGCACCTTGTCCAGGTCACACAGGGCACCTGAATTCATTTCAGGGCTCCAGGTTGCCTTCATCTGTAAAAGTCTTCCAAGGACTGGGAGTGAAATCCAGGTTCTCTGAAGGCAATGGGATTTTTGCCCCAGATTGCCAGGGGGGGAAAGCTTTTTCCCCAAGCACCTGCCTGGAGGTGTCCAGAGGCCTTTAGCAATGGCAGTGACTCTGGAAGCACCAACAGCGATGGCCAACCCTGAATGTCCCAGAGTGGCTTTTGGGGTGTCCAGCTCCTGGCTAGGAGAGGCCACTGGTCAAAATGGGCCTTGTTAAACAGCCAAGCAGAAAACAAATCTGCTCTCAAGGTGGCTCAAAGCTGGAGCTGACAGAACATTTTCCTGTTGTATATAAATATCACATATGCACACATGCATAGTTGGCGAGGAAAACTTTATATATAGGTAGTGTGTCTGTTTTAGATAGAAAGATGGATACATTTCATGTGTATTAACTCACATAGCTATATATTCCTAACATCCAAAACATTGTCTTTTCCTGGTTTTTCCAAACACTTCACCAGCTGATTCACAGATGCCAAATGTTGACACAATATGTTAAATAGAAATGTTGACAGTTTCCCATGGAGAGTTTTCTGCAGTCCTGGAGAAGCTCTACTCAACATTTCTTTTGAGATTTGAAGGAATTTGATTAACATTTTGCTGTTGCCCATTCCTGACTACTCTGAGTTGAGCTGGGACCGGAGGAGCACTTGATGAGTAAGGCTCTTCTGTTATTTACAGCCTCGTTGAAACGATGAAGTAGCAGGAATCTCCTTGGAGAGCAATGGATCACAGCACTTGTCAAGATGATTTCCAAATCAAAGATGAATTCCAAGGAGCAGCAAGGGTATAATTTTAGAGCCCATAAAGCCAATGGCAAAAATCCCAATTTTTGCACAGTATTCTTAATGGAGTCTCTGAAATTTTGGAGCTTCATATATTATATATTATATACTATATTATATATTATATTGTGGCTAAGAGGTCCTGTCCAAATTCAGCATCTGTGTGCCTTACAGAGGAATGACCCTAAAAAGGAGTGATGAAAAAGGTCAGTCTAGTTTAAAAACAAATACTGTGTTTATAACGAGACCGAAGGGACAATGAAGAATTCAGTACTCGATACTGACACCTGCCACTTGCAAAATATCTCCACCACTAGGAACAAATATTTTGTGAGAGTTTGGAAAATTCTGGTCACTCATTTTTTCCTCCTTTGTTTCCATTTCAGTCACTGTGCAATAACAGCACTGACGTTGCTAAATGTCACGAAGTGAAGCTGATGAAGTTGCTTCATGTGCTTGTTCCAGGTGAGATGGCAACAGGAGCAGTTGTAATTCTTACCCAAACAAAACAAGACAAAAGGAGTATTTGCTAATGTTTTTGGATATAGTTGTTAGGTCCCAGGAGCAGAGATTAGTCAGAGTACCCATAAATATCACTGTCACTGAACTCTGATTTCCAAAGTCTTTGCTCCCAGATAGCAAATTAAAACCCAGCCGAGCTCTCGCCACTGGGCTATGGACTCCTACTGGGATTTGCCCAGTTCTTGGTCCCCATCAGTGCAATTGGGAGAGCAAGGAGGGGAAGCCAGGGGCACATCCCATACAGTGGATGTCCAGGTAGGAAAATGCCCCCCTTGTAAATCATATGGCACAGGTGACCCCTCGAGCTTCATTCCTGATGTCGCAGCTTCCAGTCACATCATTTGGGAGGGATCAGCCTGTCAAGCTAGACACAGTCTTGGTCTCAGTAAATATGGCAGTTCTGGCACTGTCATTTAAAAAAAAATCCAGTTTCCCAGAGAAAAGCTCAGACAACAGAACCAATCCAAGGTATTTATCACTTCACACTGTGCTAATGCAAACAAAAACATCACACACTTCAATAAATCCATTGCTGAGTCTCACCAGAACAAACTGACATTTCCCACGTGACCAGTTCCAAGCTAGAAGGGTTTGGGTTGGGTTTTGCTATTAATATTCTTTTGTAATGGAGAAGGCATTTTTCAATTGAATGAAAATTTTTGCCTCCAAAAATGTTCACTTTCACTGAGAGATGTAGAGGTCTCAATAAGAAAAAACTAAGACCAGTAATTCAGTGATTGCCTGAGTGAGAGATTTCTTCTCCCCATCACCTCAAAAAAATCAGAAAGTAAAATATTAAGTGAAGGAACCAAATCCATCCATGCCATCAACATTTTTCATGGGGGAGAGTTCCTGGCTACTTCCATCATTCACTTTGCAATTATGGTGTATTTAGAGCCAACGTATTTAACCCCAAAATTAGCTCAGCTGATCTGGAAATGCCAGCCTCAGTTCTCTTAGACATATATGAGAGGACTGGGTGCAGTCAGATACAAGCTGGGCCAACCAGGAGAAAGTCCACTGGGTTTGCAGAGGCAAACAGAGCTCAGCATTTTGGGGTGGACAAAAAGCCTGGCTGAATGGCACCATTGAAGCCTCAAAGGAGAGCCCAAGTGCCAGCCAGCACAAGGAGATAAGGAGCACCCCGGGAGAAGGGTACAAAGGTAGCACTGATGAGCAGGGCTTGGCTTTGCTCCCACAGAGGTCACAGCTGGGTCCTCTATTAAATTTTTCTTAACACAGCAGTATTGAGAATTATACCAAGCTACTGGCTAGTAATGCCTCCCTCCCACAGACCTTCCAGAAAATATAAGTCTTTGACAGTCCTGGCATAAGCAAAGACAGTCAAAGGCTCTGTTATCTTCTTTTATAAACTGGAGAATTTGGCTGTGAGGAGACAAAAGTCCCTGTCCTGAAAAGCATCACAAGTATCACTCTTGTGAGTAAAGTGGTACCTTTGCCTGAGCAGATCTCTGAAGGTGCATCCTGTACTTAGAAACAAGAGCCTTCATCTTGAAATACAAGTGAACAGTAAAATTGTGTCCATTCTGAATTTTTAAAAATTATCTATTGTACTTAAGGGATAAACTCTTTGTTTCTATTCCATTACCAGTGTCCCTTTGGAGCTGGAGTCCCTGTGTTCACAGGCATCATCCAGGTTCATCAGACAGCCAAATCTTCAGCGTGGCAAAGTTGTTCCCAGTCATTTCTCTGTTTATTTTCAATTTCCCATCCTATCAGCTCGAACCAAGGTGGGAGGAGGTAAAGCAACTAGAAGGGGCAGTTTTTAAGGTTTCAACTGAGTAGAAGGTAAGAAAATATAATAAATTTTATTTCATGTCTTCTTGCCAATTGTTAGAAATGTGCAGTCCATATGAATTCATATAACAAGGAGGGAATGTTGGGAAAACCAATAAAGATTTTGTGGTCTTAACTATAATGAATGTAGTTTGATATAGAGTCTGTTTTTCACTGCATGGCAAAATGAATCATAAAATACTGGACCTTGAAACTCCTGCATTTTTTAACAATAGCCTGGGGACAGTTTACAGTGTAATGAATTGTAATTAACCCACCTTCAAAATCTTTTATGAGTATTTTGCCAATTAGCTTCGCATGCTTGCTAATGACTCATGGCCAGCGCATGTCTTTGCAGAGCCGGGTTTTACAGAGCAGGGTTTTACAGCGCACGCCGGCCTGTTCAGTCAGCGCAGGGACGCAGGACGGGGAGGCAGGCACAGGTAAGACCCGGCCAGCCCCAGCAACCTACATATTTCAACACTCCCAGAGCCTTTGCTGCTCCCTCAGACCCAAAATAACTGCAATAATGTATAGCGACGTCAAAAGGCTTTGGTTTCCCAAGGATTGCGAGGAATGCAAAGGGCTCAAGTCCTGACATCTGTTGTTACTTAGTACTAACATATATAATGCTGCTAATTGCTGAGCCATCTTTGTTTTCCTTACTTAGCACTAGGGTTAGAATTATTTTATTTTTGTGGTTCATGGCTTCCTGCCACTTGCAACACAAAGTCCACTCTAAAGAAAATAAAACAACTACCAGGCTGACTACTAACAGTGTGTGGAGGGCTGGGGTGGTTTCTTCCCCCTCTCCTGTTTTAAGCTGTGTTTTTGTTGGGTTTTATTTTAATTAAGGTAAGAAGAGACAGCAGAGGTGGGACCTGAGTGGTGTCACACCAAAAGGCCACATGGGCCAGTATCCCATCTCCCAGTATCCCATCTCCCAGTATCCCATCTCCCAGCATAGCCAGGAGGCGATGCAGGAGGAGGAAACTCCTGGAGGAGGCTCAGCAATCCCTCCCCTGCTGTACCCTCCTCGCTCCAGGCAATCCGCGGTTTATGGACTTCCCAAAGCAGAGGCTGCCTCCAGACCAGTGTGTTTTAACAGCCACCCATGGATCTATCCTCCTCAAATGTTTTTGATCCCTTTCTCAAGCCATTTATAACTTTTGGCCTCCGCAACATCCTGTGGCAATGAGTTCCACAATTTAATTATGCTTTGTATGAAAAAGTACTTCCTTCTGTTGGTTTAAACCTCCTTGTGTGACAGCACCACCAGGTCCCCTCTAATTCTTAGGAGAAGCAGTGAACAGCCAGTTCCTATTCGATTTTTTCTATGTCAGTCATGATCTGAAAGGCCTTTACTGAACCTCCTGCTTCTGTCAGCCCTTTCTACCTTGAAGGCTCCTCATATGCTTGTTTTTCCATCTTTGTTGAAGCTGTTGCCCATCTCTCCTCATCCTGAATGCTTCCTTCCTGTACTTTCCAGTTCAGCTCAGCTCTTCTGGAGTTTGATGGCCAGGAAACACACTACCATGGAGCTGCAGTTTCACTGAGCAGTGCTGTAATGATGTTTTCTGATTTGTTCCTGTCTCTTTGCCAACTCATTCCTAACGTGATAGTTACCTCTTCTGATGGACTTTAAATGATATTTGCAGAGGCCTCCCAGCTCTCTTTGCTAAGTGTTATTTTTAGGGCTTGTCTGTGTTGAGGTACAGCGAGGGTGAGTTCTCTGCACGTGCTCTGCCTCTGTTGACACTGCACTGCATCAGCCATTTTACTGCAGTGCTTTGTGGCCACATTTGCATCATCTGCAAAATTTCTCATCTCACTATTCATCCTTTTTACTGGAATGTTTATAAATATGAACACTATCAAATGAGTATTTCAGCAACTCAGTTCTAAGTAACACACAAAACCTTCTCTCTCACACAAAGATGTGTGGCAGACCCCACCCCAAGGCCTCCAGGGGACCCATGGTAGTGAACCTTCAGAGCTTTATACCCACCATCCAAAAAGACAGCTTTCAACTCCTTGTAACTTCAGGAACAACTTTCTTCTCTCACCTCTTATCACGAAGCCTCATTGCAGACAGTTTTTAGGCATTTGTGTTTATTGGCACGACTCTACAGACTCCTCTGAGCACATTATCAGTATTGAGTGGGTAAGATGGAGAAATCAGTGATAAGAGGGCCCATCTGGTTTGTCAAGTATTTCATTCCACAGCCAGGGATATGTCATTTGTCGGCTTATTATTTTTAATGACTCTCAGTCTGTCCCCGCTGGTCATGGTTTCTCCGTAATCCATGCAGACCATGAAACACAGGGACCTCAGGTTGGCAGGAAAGACTCGGCTACAACAGTGCCTTTGGTTGCCAGGTACAGAATCACTTCTGTTTACAGGTGAGCTGCACACCTTCTGTACTGAATTCTTGCAGTTCATCAGCAAAACCCCACAGAATCTGTCCTTAATGCCCTATGGCAAGAGACCTCAGCATCCCGAATTGGCTTGGTGTGGGCAATACCTGCTGCTGCTCCCAGCTGCCCTCCTCTTGGGGAATTCGCAGCTACACCAAGACCTCAGTTCCTCTGGAATGGCCTGTTTGCACTTGCCAGCTGAAGAGATTTTCTCTTTGCCACACCATGGTACAGGTCCCGGAGGATGAGCCCTCACGGCAGTGTGAGATCCCAAGGGGCAGTTAGCATTGGCAAGCCATTTCCTTGTTTCACAAAACACCACCACTTCTCTGCTGTCCTGGATCGTTCTCACTCCCCTGTCAGTCAGGTGTCCCCATGGAATGGCAGGAAGGGCCAAACCTGTGATAAACTTAACCTGGCACTCCACTTGTGCCTCATCCTGGAAAGCCCTGTGTTAGGGAAGCATCCCTGAGCACTGTGAGTCAGGTCTCCCCTGGCTCTGTTGTGGTGCAGGACCTGCCACATGAAGTTATCATGAGTTTCTGAGCGTTACCCCTCTGGGTGTTGTTCCATGCACCACTTTGCACCTGGAAAACCTGTTTGCTGGACATGCAGATAATCCACTGCAGAAAAATGTGTCACAAACATGAGAGCCCGGTGCTTGTAGAGATCCTAATTGGAAGGGGAGCCAAGCTTTGCTGCTGGAATTATACACTTCCTGAGCAGCATGTTTGGACCACAACTTTTTCCAAAGAAAAACTGCAACATCTACAGATTTCCCAACCACACTGATCCTGCTGCACTGACCTCAATTGCAATCGCAAATCTTCAACCTGTTTTTTTCTCTTCTCAATTCAGTGGGAGCTTTGCCTGTGCTGTGCAGGACTGGACCATCTGTGTATGTCCAGGTCATGGAAAAATATTATTTCTGTACCAGAAGAGATCAGTGTGTCCCCAGTGCAGAGTGCATTTACAGTCCTACGCTTCTACACGTCGTGTGGACTTTTCCTCACTGGGGCTCTAATGCTGAATCAGTTCAGTCAGTGGGAATGGTGGCGTTAAATTTACTCAGAGCAGGATTATATGTGTTATTTTAGCCAATCTAACGTGTCACAAAAATGTGTTGAATTATTTTTTTTTTAGAGAAAAATAAAACATATGTTGAGATAATCAGTGGGAATCATTGGAGAGTTGCAAGCATGGAAATATATACATATTTGAAGTTACAACACAGTTTTCTTGGGTGGTTTTTTTTTTCCCTGCTACACTGTGTGTGGACAAATAATTTGGATGTTGATCACTCGGGTGCTTGTAATCTGAAATCCTGTCACCCCTGTTGCAAACAGAAGTGCAGGAGAGAACATTTCCTTGCAGTCCCACCCAGCTGGGGTGTTTCACTGCAAGCAACACCATCGCCTGTAACCCAGCAGAGCATGTGTGTGGGGGGGTTGTGCATTGAAATTATTGCTCTTCTGCCAAAGAGCTAAGGCAGCACTAGTTCTTCTTTACTTTTTTTCCTTCTCATTGACACCAAAGTATAAAAGCCAGCAGTGTTCCTGCACTGCAGTAGGAACTGCACGTGTGACACCAGCACACTGCCATGCTTGGAGCTGTTATTGCTGTGCACACAAAGGGAGGTCTAACGTGTCTGGATGGGACGTGATGGAGGTGCAAAGGAATTCCAGACTAGCCAGCTGTATTTTCCCAGCAGATCCATTTTGCTGCTGTGCCTGCCTTTCATGAGCTGGACAGTGATCTGAGGGCTGAAGCCAATCCAGGTGTACTGAAGGGGAGCTAATGCTTACATCCTGTCACCGAACCATTTAGGTTGGAAAAGACCTCTGAGATCAGCAGGTCCAACCTGTGACTCATCACCCCCTTGTGAACTAGAGTATGGCATTAAGTGTCACATCCAGTCATTTCTTGAACACCTCCAGGGACGGGGACTCCACCACCTCCCTGGGCAGTCTGTTCTGGTGTTTAACAGCACTTTCCATGAAATTCCTCCTGATGTCCAGCCTGAACCTATCAAAACTCTCAGGGCAGATGCAATCCCATCACTGATTAGCATCTCTCTTTTTTATCTTCTTTAGCACTTAGCTTCTAAAACTTTGTGGAAATTCGAAAGGCTGGAAGTGGCCGCTGCACCCTGGAGTAAAATGCTGTCCATTTTACAAGGGGCCAATTCATGCATTTGTCTGTAAATTCCACAGTGGCTCTTTGTTTAAATGCTTGCTCCTTATTTAGGATTATTCACTAAGGTCTTTTATTCTTGACATCACCCACAGTTTTAAAAAAACCCTTTCTCCGTGTCGACAAGCTGTGTATGAAGCAGCTCCTTAAGCCGGGGCAGCTCAGCGGCTTCCCTTGGATCCGTAACACTGAACTAAGGACAGATTTTTTGGGGAGGTCTTTGTGGTTACCTGCATTATCTTGGTCTAAGCATTCATTTATTAGGCAGAGACATGATTTTTATATTTCTTAGTAATGTTACCCAACGTTGCAGTAATTTTCAGAAGCCATGGGGTCTCTTCTCCAGAAGAGCCAGGACTCCACCACTTGACACCAGCTGAAGAACCAGCTCTCAGCATTCAATACATTAGGGGGGAAAGAAAAAAGTAGCAAAACAAAGCACCATACTCTAAGTTATAGAACTACCAACCAACCAGAGACTTGTGCCAACTTGGAAACGAGATATGAACTAGAGTGTTTCTATGCGTTAAAATGGAAACAGGTGGGAAGGACGCGTGGAATTTATCAAGCCAAAGAAATACTTTTTTTTCATGTTAAAATTTGAATGGAATGGAAATTACCATCTTCCAGTGTTACTGCAGAGCTGCAATATTGGGTTTCTCCTTACTCAGCCTTTAGCAGTAAGGAACCAGCTGCAGTGGAGGTTTGGAATTTGCTTCCTAACCCCATCTAACTCTCTCCCGGGTCTGCCCTATTTTGAGTTATTGCACCACCTGGCACAGAGGATGTTACTGACTCCAGAGAGAAGAGTCAAGTTTTGCAATAATTTTTTTTATAGATTGCTAACTGAAGAATAAGAACCAAAATGAGCTGCTGGATAGCAGAAACCAGTGGTTTTCCCTATTCCTACCTAATTTATTGCAGTGAACCTCCGCTCCCACACTGAGTAAGGCACTTTGGCTCAGCTCAGGTATTTACTGTGTGTCAGCACTGAGCCAGTGGGGTGGTGGAGAGACCAGAGCCACACCAAAGCTCTGCATTTTGAACCAAATTGCTCCCACTCCCTTCCTACCTCCACCTTGGAACAAAACCTGAGAGCAGTGCTGGAGTGTGTTCCTAGATGACTTACTAAAGTAAAAACCACATCCAGAAATATTTTTAAAAATTATGACATAGTATAAATGGGACAAACTTTACCAAAGCACTTGGTTATCCATTGCCTGGAGGGTGGGACCAGCTGCATCACTGGTTGGACAAACACATAATAAAATGGGTGGACAGACAATCTAAAAGGCCTTCACTTATCTTAGTTAACTGTTTCCAGTAAATAGCCCTGACTCTGTCATTACTTTAGAGCAGGAAAATATTGATCCATGTCCTAAAAATGTTACCATCAGCCCTGCCATAGACTTCTTTGTCCAGTGGAATCCCCTTGGACTCACATGGATTTGTCCAGCTGCATCCATTCAGCTCAGCAAACAGCCTCTGATCATGACCATGGGCCATACTAGTCAAATGTCCTGTGTGGCCCATCCATGGGACTGTGGAATGTCTGCTGTGTTCCATGCCACAGGCATCAGGACAAGAGGCTACTGGCAGTAAGCTCCTGGTCTAAATAAGCTTAAACATGGATTCAAACATTTCTCCTCTTATTAAACTGCTAGAAACCACTTTTTTGCATTTTTAATTTGAATTAAGAACGCTATTATGTTAAGATTTGGAGGGTTCAGAGGCATATCTGTGTATTGGTTTTATATTATTTTTTAATTTTATTTTTTCATGCTTCTGTATGTTTCTTGCTTTCAGACAGAGAAACCCAAAGAGCAAAGTATTTTGCAAAAGCTGTGTGGTTGGAAGGTCTTTGAACTGCTTAACACCAGGAGGAGATGAAAAGCTCACAGGACAGGTTGTTCTCTGGAGGCTCTCGGCCCAATCTGCAGGAGCTGAGGCAGTTCGGGTGCATTTGGGGGGTGGACTGAGGGAGGAAACATTCAGGTACTTTTCAACTATGCAACCAAACCATTTGTCACTTGTCTAGACGCATGTTTCAGAAGGGAATAAAATAAAAGAAAGAAAAATACCATGTCTGGGAATTCTTCCCTGGTGACTGTTGTGCAGCCGAAGAACTGGGTAATTCCCTTCAACTGAATAAACATCGGAGGGAGTCTGAGAGCAATTTGGCTCCAGAGCAAATATTGTTACCAAATTCTTTGCACCTGCAGTGGTCAGGGAAATGATAATACACCCTCTCCATGTCTTCCTACCCCCCTTCCACTTTGGGAAGGAGCCCTGTAGCATCTCAGCTCTGCTACAGCACAAACATTTGTGTGGGCAGAGCCTCAGGTGAGACCTCGCTGGTAGCCATGGCCCCATCCCACCAAACCCACTCTGCTCCCCAAGGAAAGGGAGGGGTTGGTGTCAGACTCAGGGAGGAGCTGCCTGTCACTGGTGGCCTCCTTGGACACAGATTCCAGGACAAAGCAAATGGAAAGAAGCCATGAGATGTGGATAATGGTCTCTGCTGTTCCCAGCTCAGGCACAGGAACACAGCAGTAGCTGACACCCCTGTGAGCCCATCGGCACCGGGGCTGCTTAGCTAACAGAGCCTCAAGACAGATAAAAAAATAGGGGGGAAATTGTAATATTTTAAAATGTTTCTGCTGTAAAAGTATTTTTTCACGGGAAGTATCTTGGACAGAACTGTAATTGCCTTATGAAGAGTTCTTGCATCACACGGAATGTAATTCTGTCCTGAATCACAAGTTACTGGGCTTATGCTACTACCTGAAGATATTTGACTGTATTTCCCTTAATTTTTAGTAAACTTGGTAAATTTAGTAAAATTGCTGTGCTTCTTTCTTGCGTAGAGAACTTTTCAAGTTATTTATATTAACCAATCACAGAAAAAAATGGGCAAGCTCTGTGTGCCACTGGAGTGGTTCGTCCTCACTACATCAAACTGTTGGCATCATAATTTGCCACCCTGCCTCACACTAGCACTCATTTAGTCCTGCACAAAGCCCAATAATTTGCATTTTAAATATAAAATAAACAAATAATGTATTTATTTATTTATTATATAAAGCACACATAGTTCAACAGCCTGATACTGAGTTGGCCTTGCTCACTCAGCCCCAAACTCCTGCACAGTAACAAGGAGTGTGCCATAGCCTCAGGAAGTTTTGGAGTGTCAGGAACTCAGCAGGCAGGTTTAAGAACAAGTATTTAGGGCTGTCTCTGGGAAATAAATGCTGTGTAAAGAGGAGAAAGTTTCACCACAATGTGAAGACAGTGATCAAATGATTAGGAAAGAGAACAAAAAAGAGACAACACTGAGTTACAACAAAGGAATTCAAAGGAATTATGCCAATTTCTGTTAGCTAAGTAGCTGTAAAGACTACCAAATATTCCTTATGATTCCTAAGCATATTAACTGATAGTTATTCATATCTGTCCGTGAAAACGAACCCCCTAGAACAGCACGATTTAATCACTGCAAATTCAGATTGGCAGAAAAAGTGCTCTGGGTTTTGTATCACTTGACTGAGCTTAGCAAATGAAAACACAGGAGATTTGGTTGATCCTCCACAAAGCTTTTGGGATGTGACGAGATCCGAAAGGAGCAGGACAGTCTTGTGATTAGGTTTGGATTGCACTGAGCTGGGCTTGTGAGCTGTGCTGCTTCCGAGCCCAGCTGTGCCCTGCTGTGGTGGGCGAGGAGACCTCAGGATGAACGTGATTTGTCTTTGTCAGTTTTGTCCATTTGGACAAGGAGCAGGATCTGCCCTGGCAATGCATGAATGTAGTTCCTGCAGCACACAAGTAATTCAGGAACGAACCTGAACAAAACCTGACATTTTCTGCTCAAATAAGGGTGACACAGAAGGCTCTCCCAAACCCCAGTGCATCAGAAAATGTTCTCTCACCACACTACCAGCCCCAGTCAGCCCCAGTAACCTCATCCACCCCGGTAAACCCAACCATTAGCTCCTGCTGAAGACATATTCCCACGGAGGCACAGGGAATGGCTGGAGCATCCCATGCCAGCACCGCACCGCTGCCCTGAAGGAGCAGCCCCATTAGCAGAGCCTCTGTTAGATTCAACCCAGACTTCCTCACAGTATCACGTCATAAAACCATCGTGCATCTGGCCCAAATTTAAGGCACAGTTGGCAGCATTTGATACAAGAAAGAAACCAAGGACTGAATTAGTATCCCACGAGGTCAGTTTGTTTGTCAAGCCCCAGATGAAGTGTGGAGCCATGTGGAGAAGTCCTCGGTCTGCCTCTGAGCCCTTCCCAAAGGAAAGAAACGCTCTCTAGGTTTCATGCTCTTTGAAAACACCACTTCATTACCTGCCCTTTTTTTGTTGCCAGGAGAGGTTAACAAAATTACTGAGGGATGAAACATTCTCGAAACATTCTTTCTGGATCATCAAACAGGATTAGCGTATGAATTACACTGGGTGGTGCAGCTCACCTAGAGGAGAGGGGCCATGGGGCTGCACCTTGTCCTCCTCCTTCCAGGAGTCACTGCAGTCCTCGGGGTGTGCACACACAGGCACACATGGCCTGGTGGGTTTGGAGGGGAGGCAAAGGGATAAACCTGAGTGCTGGTATTGCTCTTTGCTGTGCCTCAGTGCATACACCAAGCCTTAGTTTTGGCACGTGCTTGGCCGGTGCTGCTCCAGTCACTCCATGAGTGTGGCACACACGGCTGGAAATCCTTCCCAACACCTGCCCACATGGACTTGCTCAGCTGCAGCAGAGCCAGGTAAGCCAGCAGGGCAGAGCTACACGCTGTGGGAAAGCTCAGCTCCCTCTGAGCCTTTATCTCCTTGATGGGTGTGCTCCTTCGTGCACACAGACGTGACAACCAAGTGGTTACAACCCCCAGCAGGGAATGGCTTGGTCTGTCTTACACAGAAAAGTGCTGTTCCAGCTCCACACCAAACACTCTTCCTACAGAATTTTTTTTTAACCCATGGATAAACTGCACAGGTACACAGGACCCTCCACATTTTATTTTGCTCAGCGCCTTTGCTCCTCCACCATCCTGAGCTGCATCCCTGACTGGTACCAGTGTTCTCAGGGTGTTTGTTCCCTCTTTTTGTCTTTACTTTTGATCTGTCGCCACCACTGGGTTACAAAACTAAAGCTCTGATGTCCCTTGCCTATTACAATTATTTAGGTGGCCCTGGCAGCCCAAAGCATTTATGCTCATTGTAATTTAAATTTCTTTGCTGTAGTCTTCCAAATCTCCTGAAAATAGAAATTAAAACTACTGGGAAACACAAATGTTTTATAGATTATATGCATGTCTTTTAGAGGTAGTAGCCAGCTAAGCAGAAGATAAGGGGGAAAAAGCAAGAGATCAAAATATAGATGAGGACAAACGCTGGACAACAGTCCACACTGTCAAGTCCCAGGCATCCCACAAGAGAAAGAAGGGGAGCAAAAAGGAATTTATTTCTTTTTTAAGGAGAAATAGTGGCCTTTTCAAACACCCCATATTATGGGGGGGGGAATGATTTTTTGGAAATACTATTGCTCCATTCCATCTGTTTCTAGGGCAACTGTTATCAGCTGCTAATTTTACAGGTGCTTCATTACTTGTGCCCCGCTGGCTTGTGGTTCTCCTTCAGTCCCAGCCTCACCTCCTGCTTGCTGCTCCCCAGTGCAGGTCTCACCTACTCTGGGCACAAAAGACTAAGCTCTACAGTCTGCTCATTCCCCAAAAAACCAAACCAATCCCAGTCCCTTTCCTCCAGAGCATCCAGACTCCCATGTTTCCATCCACGGGTGTCACCAGCAGCAGGACCTGTTTGCACTCCATATGCTACTCTTTCTCCATTTAATAATCCATAGGCATGAGAGCTCTGTTTTTAGGTCCCAAGCATTCAGGCACTGCAGATTTGATAGGAGTTAACCCCAGCAGCAAGGGAAGGTGAGTTCATGGTTCCTGCAGTCAGGGCAGTGTCAGGACCCCGGCCGTGGCTCTGGGGAAGGGTGCAGGGTATCAGAGCAAGCAGAGGCACAGCCCAGCACCAGCCCACGCCTCTGCCATGCCCAGCTCTCTGCCTGCAGTTGAAAGCAGCATCAAATGCCAGCGCTGGCCTTTCAGGTGAGAAGACAGCAGCCACAGCCATTTAAGACTGAGGTTAATGCTTCACTGAAGTCATGGCCTTAGGCTGCATTTTTTTCAAAAGCAGCAGCATTACTTTAAAAGCTTCCCTTTCAGAAGTAACTTAAGCACTTAAATAGTAAGTCTTACTGGCTCCAAGTGAGGTTTACACCCTTAACTGCCTTGAGTTACCCTTGAAATAGGCTCCAGCCTCCAGCCAGTTTGCTGCTTGTCTGGCTGAGCTACCAGATCTTCAGGACAGGGACTGCTGTCTCTCACTCCATGAGGTTGGGTTTTTAAGTCCATACCTAAATCACTGGCATTTTTGGGTACCAACTTATTCAAAATAATAGCTGGTCTTTTTATTGTGGGGCTGACCCTGCATTCCTGGTGGAGTCAAAGCTCCCTTTACTTTTGGAAGGTGCAAAGAAAAGCAGCCCACCATCTTGTTGCCAAATCGTTTTCCATGGGAGATTTGATTTGAAACACAAAATACCAGGATTTATGAGAGGAACTGGCCACAATGTGATCATAAGAACATACCAACATTGTAGTTCCCCACCCTTTGATCTTGGCACTTTAATGATTAATTAGTGCTAAAGTACTGGAAAAATACCACACTTGAGGCAGTTTAAAGCTTCTCTTTGTATAGATACAAACTATGACTCACATGAAAGGATAACCCAGAACTGCAAGAGGGTGAGATTAACACACAAGCCTCTGGTCACACGCAGATGTTTGCCCAACTGGACAAATTGGGGAATCTCCTCAGCTTTAGGGACTGTTTCCATTAAGCTGCCTATATTTTCCAGCCCTGCAAGAAAGGCTAAGTGTCAACTTGGAGGGAAATCCGTCCCTTAGAAAGAGACACGTGTTTAAGGCCGTGAGCTTTAAAGAAGCATCACATCCTATGGCAATTTGCAGAAAGCAAATCCTCGCCTCGGGCGGTTGAAGA